GACGTGAGCCTAAATCAAGCTGGGAGCTCCAGGTGCTTGTTCATTGAATTTGATGCATCTAGGGCCCTGTGTCTCTGAACCCTTTGACCTTGAGGTTGAGGATGCATGAAATGGCATGTTAAACCTTTGGCAGCAACTGGACACAGGTTTAGTTCTATTAGTTACTTGCTGGGGGAACTTGAATAAGAGGCTTAATCTCTTGGGTCCCAAATTCAATAAAGTAAGAATAATGGAACCTGTCTCCTGGGACTGATTAAGGCCTTTAGTGTGTAGAAGCTGCTAGGTAAGACACACCACAGTTCACACTTAATGGACCAACAAAGACAATTTTTTTTATTACTTTTGGAGCCAAAATACTTTATGCGCCTACATCTCATTGAAATATCATCACATCTCTGTATAGTAGCTACTATTAGAATACCCGTGTAAGTCTCCTGATGCTAATAGCTCATCAAAAGCTGTATCTTAATGAACCCTCTTGCCACACAAAAGGAAAAAAAAACACGCATTGAAAAAGGCGCTTTGCAAGAGGTAGGATTCCGTGCAAGTTTTTCTTATAACTGTTACGTCACCCTTTGTGGTTGTACTCCTTTATTTTTTTCTGAGCTAAGGTGATGGGCCCCTGGTTACGGTGGCCATGGGAACAAGGCCCACCCTATAGGATTGGACGGTTCTCCGGCGCCCGCTGGAGGCCACTCTCCGGTACTGCTGTGCGAGGTCGAGCCGGCCTTTGAGACCCGCGGGAGGGAGAGCGCCGTGTGGCAGGGGGATGGGCGAGGCCGCGACGGAGCGGTGCACGCCGGGAGTTGTAGTTCGCAGGTCGAGGAGGTGGGCGTCTCCTCAAGGAGCTCGGGCCTCTCCCGGATGGCGGCTGCGACGCGCGGCTGCCGGCCCTGGGGCTCGTTCCTCGGGCTCCTCGGGCTGGTCTCGGTCGCGGCCGCCGCTTGGGACGTGGCTTCTCTGCGCTGCAACTTCGGCTCCTTCTGTGAGTGTGACTTCCGGCCGGACTTGCCAGGTGAGGGGCCGAGGGCCGGAGGCGGGCCGCGGGCGGGCGGGGAGCCAGGCCCGGGGCCGTCGCTCTGTGGACTGGGGGCGGGCCGCGGGGGAGGGCGGGCCCCTCACTGGCAGGGCCGGAAGCGGGCCCAGCCCGGAGGGGACGGGCGGAGAGCCTGGATCGGGGGGTTGTTCATTGGGGTCCCGGGACAGGGGCCTCTGGCAGCAGGGCCCCGGAGGTGGGCATCTAGGGCGTCCGAGCCGGGGAGTCCGGGAGAAATCTGCCTGGACGGTCGCAGGGCCGGACCTTGTTGACAGCCCGCGCTCGCGCCAGGCTGGTGCAATTTGGAGATGCGCCTGGTGAGGGCGCTGCCGAGCTCCGGGGGCTCGCGCCCTGTCCACCCCAGGACAAACGTCCCACACACCGGGTTCCCCGGACCAGATTCCAGACATGATTCTTCCCGCCAACCTCCTGTCTACCTGGGCAAGTGACTTCAGCCGTGGCACTGTCTCCTCTGGCTCTAGGCTTGGAGTGTGACCTGGCTCAGCACCTGGCTGGCCAGCACCTGGCCAGAGCCCTGGTGGTGAAGTCTTTGAAGGCCTTCCTGCAGGACCCCACCCCTGCGAAGCCGCTGGTCCTCTCCCTGCACGGCTGGACGGGCACGGGCAAGTCCTATGTCAGCTCCCTGCTGGCGCGCTACCTCTTCCGGGGTGGCCTCCGCAGCCCCCATGTGCACCATTTTTCCCCCATTATACACTTCCCACACCCCAGCCACATCGAGCGCTACAAGGTAGGCTGAATGTGTCCTACATATCCTTTCGCCTGCATCGTGGTATGGTAGACCCTGAGAAATGAGTCTGGAGGCCAGAGAAGGGAGTCACTTCTGCTCAGATCACACAGTCATGTGGAGTTTCAGCTCTCAGGACACTTTCCTAAACAGAGCTTGGGGTGGTGCCCTTCTACCAGGCATGGAGTTCTCTCTTTGGTGTGTGTTGGGGGAGGGTGGAGAACGGTGAGGTAGTGGTATCTTCTGGCCTAGCTGTTGAGGGGGACCTGGGATTACACAATTACAGATACACTTATTGTTTGTCACTGCATCATCATCTCCCTGTAGGGTTCGTCTGGGGCTCAGAGGAAGCACTTGACAAAACACCACCATTGCCTGGCTGATCAGTTTCTGCTGTCAGCTCTGTTGAGCAGGTTCAGGGATAGGAGGGAGCCTTTTCTTGTCAATGGAAGCAGTCATGGAAAGAGCTTGAACTGAGAGGTGGGCACATGGGTTTGTGTGCCAGGCTGTGTGACCTTGGGAAAGTCTATGCCCCTCTCTTAGCCAGTGTTTTACCATCAGTCTCACTAAGTGTACTCTCTAGGAAAGCATATCTCCCTGGGAAGATGTTTTTTTCCCCCCTAAGATTATTTTTATTTTTTGCCAGGGCCTGGAACTTGAACTTGAACTCAGGGCTTGGGCACTGAGCTTCTTTTGTTCAAGGCTAGCGCTTTCCCACTTGAGCCACAGCACCACTTTTGGCTTTTTCTGTTTATGTGGTACTGAAGAATGGAACCCAGGGTTTCATGCATGCTAGGCAAGCACCCTACCACCAAGCCACCTTCCCAGCCCATAGGGGTGGTTTCTTGATGTGGAAAGAAGTTAGAGGGTTGGTGGAATATCTCTGGCCCCTCCTGGAACTCTTGCCTCTTCCCATAGAAAGATCTTAAGAGCTGGGTCCAGGGGAACCTCACTGCCTGTGGCCGTTCCCTCTTCCTCTTCGATGAGATGGATAAGCTGCCCCCAGGCCTGATGGAGGTCCTGCGACCGTTCCTGGGCTCCTCCTGGGTTGTGTATGGGACCAACTATCGCAAAGCCATCTTCATCTTCATCAGGTGGGGGCTGCTGGGCAGGGCACTGGGGGGAAGATGCTTGTTAGAAGGGCAGCAGGGGGGAAAGTGGCGGTGCTAGCCTTGAGCTGAAGAGCTCAGGGACAGCGGCCAGGCCCAGAGTTCGAGCCCCACGACTGATTAAAAAAAAAAAAAGAAGGGCAGCAGAGGGACACATGTCAGCCTAGTCTTGGCTAGCAGCAGAAGTGGAGGCACTGCCCAGCCCCTCAGCTCTCACTAGTGATGGTATTCTCAAAGCCATTCTGGGAGCCTCACGAGGGGACTCCTGGCGGGTCAAGAATTCTTTTGTGCTAGTGGCTCACACTGTAATCCTAGCTACTCAGAAGTTTGAGATCTGAGGATTATGGTGTGAAGCCAGCCTGGGCAGGAAAGTCTGTGAGACTCTTATCTCCAATTAACCAGTAAAAAGCTGAAAGCAGAGCTGTAACCCAAGTGGTAGAGCGCCAGCCTGAGTGAAAGAGCTAAGGGAGAGTACCCAAGTCCTGAGTTCAAGCCCCAATATTGGCTTAAAAAAAAAGTTCTTTTGTGGTCAGAGAACACTGCCTGGGGAACTAAGGACTGAGTTCTGGGTCATCTTGTTCTAGCTGTGTTCCTTCTGAAACTGCTTTCTGCCTCTTCTGAACAGCTGGGCTGATGTTAATGCCCCATTGTCCTCCCGGGGGCTGGCCAGAAGAAAGTCAGTTAAGGGACACACACGTGTGGTGCAGACTGAAGTGCACCCCAGGTGCACAAGTCACACAGTCATGCTGACATACAGCTGGAGGGGGAGGGCAGTGTTCTCTCTGCTTTGGCTCCTGCCACACTGAGCTGAGCTCCCAGGCCTGATTAGGTGTTCTTGGGGAAGAAAGGGCTGAGTCTCAGCCTGGGTTCTCCATGATTTCAGCAACTCTGGTGGTGAGCAGATCAACCAGGTGGTCCTGGAGGCATGGCGCAGCCGCAGGGAACGGGAGGAGATCAGCCTGCAGGAACTGGAGCCCACCATTTCCCGGGCTGTGCTGGACAACCCCCACCGTGAGTTGACTCAGGAGTCTACCAGGGTGGCTTCACACTCAAACTCAATGGGCCAGATGTATTGGGGTGGGCCGTGTTCATGGGAGTCTGCAGCTTTGACATCTGGCCCTCTAGTTCTGAGCCCAGGCTTCTCTGCTCCCGTCTCTGTGACCTCAGTGAGTCATACAGGCCCTGAGCCTATGCCACATCCTGCTGCCCGTTGGGTGTGGGCTTCTCCCCCTTTGAGCATGTGTCTGTGTGTGTCTCCCTTCACCTCCTAGATGGCTTCTGGCGCTCGGGCATCCTGGAGGAACACCTGCTGGACGCCATAGTGCCCTTCCTCCCGCTCCAGAGGCATCATGTAAGGCACTGTGTGCTCAATGAGCTGGCCCAGCTGGGCCTAGAGCCCCGGGAAGAGGTGGTCCGGGCTGTACTGGACAGTGCTACCTTCTTCCCTGAGGACGAGCAGCTCTTCTCCTCCAACGGCTGCAAGACTGTGGCCTCGCGGATCGCCTTCTTCCTCTGACACTTGAGGCATCCTTGCCGCCTCTGTCTGGCCAGACCACACAGGAAAGCCCTTGTCCTGAGCTTGCTGGCCAGTGGGACCCAGGGTAAAAAGTCAAGGGTGTTGGCTAGGCCAAGGACAGCAGGCCAGAGGACCTGGCCTCTCACCTGGTGAGAGACATTTTGGCCTTTGCTGCCTTCCCCATGGAACCCTGGTCACCCCGGAACCTCAACTGAGCCTTGACCTCTTCCTGCAGCCTGAGCTTTCTTAATGTGAATTGTAACTCAGGGACTGAGTCTCGTGGCTGCCCTGTCTGTCCTGGGCTGTCCCCTCACCCCCGTCCACCATGCCATTGTCCTGGCTCCACATACCCCGCATCCACAGCCCAGCTCCCAGTGTCACGTCAGGCTGGGACTCGGCAGTTTCCATGAATGGCGGGACTCGAGCTGACTTCTGGCCTGCGTTTGGATGATTTTAATCTCGTAAAAGAAGAGAACAAGTGTAATAAACCTAGCCGTGGGATCAGAGGAATGTTGACTGGAGTTTTCTTTGCCCCAGAAAGGAGCAGCTTGGCTAAGAGCCAAATCTGTCCTAAGCTAAATCTGTCCTCTCCCCTGCCAGAAAGGCTAGTGGCATGTCCCCTTCAGAGAGCAGCTGGTAGCTGCCGCTTGACCAGCCTCAGCGTTGTTGGTACCCGAGCTCCCTGCCTGGGTGGTCTTGGTTTTGGGACCCCAGCTGGCATGGACCTGGTTGGCAGATGAGGCTGTTTTCAGGTCAGCTTCAGCCTTGTTGGGCCTCTGGCTCTGGATCCCCTTGCTATTGCTGAGGCTCCAGCGTCGTTCATTAGAAGCTCTGGTCTTGCTGGCACCTTGCTTCTGGGAGCCGGTGGCCTTGGGGGCTCTCCAGCCCAGGCCAGGGGTGGCCTTGGCCCCTCTGCGCCTTTGCCTTGGGCTCTCCTGACCCTTGCGCTTGGTGAGCCTCTTCTTTGGGCCCTGGGTGGCCTCTGTCTTGCTGGCACTCTGGCCTTGGTCTTGGCCCTGGACGCTGTCAATTATGCTGGAGCTTCGGCTTTGACCGGGGACAGCCTTGGTCTTGGAGCTCTGGCTCAGATCCTGGGACACCTTGGTTTTTCCAGGGTGTTCCTTTCTTTGCAAGGAGTCTAGGGACTGACTCTGCAGCAGCGAGGAGTCAGATTCTGACATGGAATCCAGCACCTCGGTGCTGGAGGTGCTCTTGTATTCCTGGCTGGTGGCCGATGTCTCCGTGTCGGAGGTGACCACGGTCCTGGCTGGAAATGGGTGCCAAGAACACTTTCAGGCTTCTGCCTGAGTGTCTTCCCAGCTTACACCAGCCCAGCCTCCACCACAACCGAAGCCCTGAGGCCGGCTAGGCCATAAGATAAGGGCCCATTAATGGCCCATAACTGGCCCATTCCCAGTTCCCCTTGGCCAGCTGCCCCTTGTCCTCTGTCTCCCACAGGGTGATCCTCTCTCACACTTAGCTAACCCCTACTTTCCTTAAGCTCATCCTAGCGCAGCCCCCCCCCCCCCCAGGCCTTCAGAGGGCTGAGCCCCTTGCCCTGTCTCCTTTCACAGTTGACTTAGAGCTCCCTCTCCAGAGCAGGGACTGGGCCCTGAGTCCCTCTGCCTGTGTAGGTGTTGGGCCCAGGCCAGCATAGCACAAATGGAAGGCATGGTCCTTGCCATTCTCCCTGCTAAGGGCTCTAGTTTTTCCCTTTTGTCCCCGCTCCCACCCCTGCTGGTACCTGGTAGGATTGGCACCCCACAGCCCATGGATATGCATAAAGCTTGTGAGCTAGTTCTGAGGGCAGAGAGAAAAAGATAGGCCAGAGAGGGACAAGGGAGGGGACAGCAACCACAAGGAGCCTGGTGAGCGCAGCCTGCCTGCTTTGGGTGGGCACTGTCCCACCAAGGTTGGGACTCATTTTGAGTTAGTCACTAGCCCAAGGGTCACGCTGCTGTCAACAGCAGAACCTGAGTCCCCAACTCCTGGCCATCAGCACTGTAGGCCCTGCAGGCCTGGGACTCACTGCTGAGCATGGAGCTTGACACGGTCTGGTCCAGGTAGCTTTCCGAGGGGGACGTCTCCTGAAGGGTGGGCTCCTGCGGCAGAAACGGGCAGGGTGGCTGTATTCAGAGACCTGGGTGGCAGCCATGCCACTGGCTCCTCACAGATACCAAGCTGGGGCTGGGTGGGGTATAGAGAGGCTAGGACTACAGGAAGGGGCATGGGTGGGCTACACAGGTATGGCACCCCAAGAGAGGCCAAGTTCAAGGGCTGCTGGGTCTCCGATGTCCCCTCTACAAAGTAAACACTAGCTCATGTGGGACCTGGGCTTCTGTGGACCTTGAAGCTCTATGTCCTGGGTATGGCAGTGAGGAACTGAGGCACATGGGGTTGGGGGGGCTGCCAGCACCACTTCATAGACCTGGGGACCCAGACTCAGAATGCCCAGGGCCACGGCAAGGAGAGATGTGGGTTTGAGCCCAGCTCTGCTGGACCCGCAGCCACGCCCATGCCCGCTGGCCTCTGTCACCATCACAAGCAGGTGGAGGGAGGCTGCTGCCATGTGCTGTGAGAACCCATCGTACAGGCCCTGGTCTCTGTGCTGCGCCCTGCCGGCTCCTCATCACCATGGCCACAGACGCACGCGCAGGGGAGGTCCGGGCTTTACACCTGTTCTAAGGTGAACTAGTAAGACGACAGTAGCTTCTTTCCATTGTGTCTGGGACACTGGCACCATGTTCAGTTCAGTGGCACAAAGTCCTTTGGACACAAACTTACGTGGTGACTGTTAGCAGTGGGGACCGGTAGATAAACAGGATAGTTACAGGCTAGCATCTTCTATGTGGTGAGAAACAGTTTTGGGTGAATTTTGGAGCCAGAGCTGGACAGCTAGCACGACTGCTGATGGCGAGCCTGGGATGTGTTCTTCTCTGAGCTGGTGTTGGTGTCATGGTATGTTCAGTTTGTGAAAATGCGTCCAATTGTTCTAAGTTTTGTGTCCTTGTCTATACTTTGTTCAATAAAAAGCTTTTAGGAACAACTAAAGAATTAAGTTGGGCTGGCTGCTGGTGGCTCATGTCTGTAATCCTAGCTACTCAGGAAGCTGAGATCTAAGGATTGCAGTTCAAAGCCAGCCTGGGCAGGAAAGCCCGTGAAACTCTTACCTCCAATAAACCACCAGAAAAGCCAGACGTGGCGCTGTAGCTCAAGCGCTAGAGCACTAGCCTTGAGCTGAAGAGCTGAAGGACAGCGCTCAGGCCCAGAGTTCAAGCCCCACGACCGACAAAAAAAAAAAAAAGAATTAAGTTGGGGGGCTGAGAATGTGGCCTACTGGCAGAGTGCTTCTCTAGCATGCATGAAGCCCTGGGTTCAGTTCCTCAGTACCACATAAACAGAAAAAGCCAAAAGTGGCGCTGTGGCTCAAGTGGTAGAGAGTGCTAGCCTTGAGCTGAAGAGCTGAGGGACAGCGCCCAGGCCCAGAGTTCAGGCCCCACAACCGGACCAAAAAAAAAAAAAAAAAAGAAGAAGTTGGTACTGGGTGCTGGTGGCTCACACCTTTGTAGTCCTAGCTACTCAGGTGGCTGAGTTCATGGTTTGAAGTGTCTTCTCTACATTTAACCACCAAAAAGCCAGAAGTAAAGTTGTGGTTCAAGTGGAAGGGTGCTAGCCTTGAGCAAAATAGGCAAGTGAGAGTGTGATCTCTCTGTTGAAACTCCTGTACAGGCATGCAACCCCCCCCCCCCACATACACACACATACACAAAGTAGAGTCTGGCACAAGTGTCCAGAACACATAGCAGTGTGGGCCAGGTGTGGGAAGCCCAGGCCTCTGCGTACCCTTGCCTTCACACAGAAATGAAGATGCCTCAGCCCCCAAGGGCTACAGGCCCAGCACGGGGCCCACTCACCCCCTCTTGCTTCTTGGTTAGCTCTCCTGTGCCTTCTGGCTCTGGCTCTGCTTGCAGGGACTCAGGGATGGCCTTGGTCACATTCCACAAGACCTGCAGGTCCCGGGCCTTCTGGCGCTCCATTTCCCGCACCCTGAGCTGCCTGTGAAGATCCCACCCAAGGCCCTTGATGGGTCTCTGGGACCCCACCTGCAATCCCCCAAGGACTAGCCTGTGCAGGTACTTGCAGGCGGCAGGACAGAGAAGCCCCAGCCAGTCCCTGCTCTAGGTCCCTGCCCCAGTTCTGGAAGCTTACCCCAAAATGCCAGTAGGATTGTAAGCCACGTCACTTTCCATTGTCCGCTCCAGCTCCAGCTTGGCCAGGTGGGCCACCTTGGTCGCCAGCACCTCCTTCACTGTCATTCCCGGGAAGAGATTGGCCATCATCGAGATCAGCTGCCAGGAAAAGGGGTGACCTGAATCAGGCACAGGCTGGCACAGTGGCCGAGGGCTGGTGCCGCCCTGCCCGGCTATGTGCTATGTGCCCTTTTCAGAGCTGAAGGAGGATTGCAGTTGTTCCTAAAGGATGGAGACCTTTCTTCTCCTGGAAGGGCAGGAGTCGAGGAAGGGACCATGGAGGGGCGGTGGAGGTAAGGTTATAGGGAGGGGTGAGGGCTGTGGTGACAGTCCTGCCTGGCTCCCAGGACATTCCCCTGTGCCTTCGCATTGTCACTGAGCAAGTTTCTTTCAGGGATGGCTGTAATACAGGGCTTGGACTGGACTCACACCTGCTCTGCTGCCCACCTTTGGTTGGTTGGGGTTCAGGAGCAGTGAAGTGGCGATATCCTGGCGGGCCCCAAAGTTGTCCTGCAGCAGCTGTCGGCTCTTGGCCCGGTACAGGTAGTACTGAGCCCTCTTGGGGTTGTGTTGAATGGCCACTGAGAAGTGGTCCTCAGCCTTCTGGAACTGCCTGCAGGGTACAGCGGGCTCTGCTCCACCCATGCGTCCCTCTTTCCTCCTACCAGCCGCACCCTTGATGGACCCAACACCTAAATGCTGGGATGAAGCTCCAGAGTAAGTGGGCATTTTTATGACCTTGGGGTAGAGAGGGCCTTTCTAAGACTGTCACAAACTGAGCTCAAGAGAAAAACAAAACAAAAAAAACAAAACCATAATGTATAAGATCTGGTGGTGTAGCTCAGTGGTAGAGCACTTATTAAGTGTACATGAGGCCTTGGGTTTGAACCCCAGGACCTCAAAAACCATATATCTATATCTATATCTATCTATATCTCACCACTGTCTCATATAGATATATGTAAAACTATATATATATACATATATATATATACATATATATGAGACAAACCATAAATAATGCCTATGAGGAACTCTAGTAATAAGAAGAAATTCTGTACTGGAGCTTGACTCATGGCCTTGGACTGGCCAGGCAGGATACACTCTCAGTTGAGCCATACCCCTATCTCTTTTTTGCTTTTCTTTTTAGACAGAGTGTCCCCCCCCCCCCCCCCCGTGCTGGTCCTGGCACTCGGCCTGGGCACTGTCCCTGAGCTTTTTTGCTCAAGGCTAGTGCTCTAACACTTGAGCCTTAACTCCATCCAGCCTTTTGTGGTTAATTGGAGATAAGAATCTCACAGACTTTCCTGCCTGGGCTGGCTTCAAACTACAATCCTCAGCTCTCAGCCTCCTGAGTACCTATGATACAGAGGTGTGAGCTACCCTTGCCTGTCTGTGTCTCCCATTTTTGGAACAATCTTCCCGCCTATACCTCCTGTGTAGCTGGGACATTCATTACGATGAGGGTCTCTATTTGACTAGGCGGGCTTTTGACTGAGATCCTCCTGATCTCTACCTCCTGAGTAGCTGGGTGGGTATGAGTCACCTCACAGGTGACTTTTTTTTCCCTTTCAAATAACCAATTTAATAAGAAAATAGGCATACAATTGAGGCAGGTCATAATGACCAATAAACATTGGTGGACTTCACTAGTAATGTCAACATGCACCGTAAACAAGTATTTTTTGTTTTGTCTTTGTTTTTGCCTGTTAGATGAGCAAAGTTGAACAACAGTCTTCTAATACTTGGCTCCTGAGTGCTAGGATTAAAGGCATGCCCTACCATGCCTGACTGGGAGATAAGTTTTGGAATAAAGCGCATCCAAAGGCTTTAAAAATTCACTGAACAGGGGGGGAAGGAGAAGGATTGGGATTAGGGGGGGAGGGGGGAGGCTGGGAAGGGATGTGAAGGGTAAACAAAGGAGGAGGCTGCAATGCTTGGTAAGAAATGTACGCATTATCCTGCCCATGTAACTGTAACTCCTCTGTACAGTATGTTCACAAATAAAATTAAATTAAATTTAAAAAAAAAAAAGAAAAAAAAAATTCACTGAACATTGAAAAATGTCATAAAAGCATAATTACTATCATAATCAAGTAGTGATTACTTGAAGTGAAGACTTGATAAACCAATTCTGTATGTAGGAGACATACAGGAGCAGAGAAGCAGCTTGCTCAGGACAGCAGCAGGGGCAGGACCCAAGCCCTCCCCTCCCATGCCATGCCCCTGCCCCCACACTCCATCCCCCACCGTGGGGTCCCAGTAGGGGCCCACCTGCGCTTCTGCTCACAGAAGCCCATCCTCTCCTGCAGCAAGCCCATGCGCATGTTGGCGCCCTCATCCATTGGGTTCAGCATCAGCGCCTCCTTGTAGTCCGCCTCCGCAAAGGCCAGGTTGCCTATCTGGAAGAAGCAATCTAGGGCCCAAGGGACCCCCGATGTCTAGTGTCCCGGAGCACCAGCCCATCCAGCTGTTAGCTCAACTCAGATGCGGGTCCTGAGACTGGCGGCTTGGTAGTTTCCTGTGTGTTTGAACCCCTCTTCTCCCCCCTGCCCCCCAAGAGATCTGAGAACTTGAGGCTGTATCCCGTTTGTCCTAGGCTCTGGGCCACCGGGCCCGTCAAATGTTGCCTCCTTCCCTGTGCTCACCACCGCGGTTGATGTACAGGCCCTTCTCCTTCTGCTCCTCCCGGAGCACTTTGTTGAGCAGCATCACACCCTCATGGTAGGCGCCGTTCGAGTAGCAGTGCACTGCGAAGTCGTTGTAGGCCAGCAGCAGCTGGCGCTGAGTCTTCCGCACCAAGTCGCTCTGGGGGTCTGTTGTCATGTCCAGTGCCTTCAGGAAGTCTTCCACTGCCCCGTCAAACTCTTGGAGCCGTCGGTACATGGTGCCTCTGTGGGGGAAGGGCAGGGCAGGTGGTCTCCAACCTCAGCCCTCAGATCTCAGCCTCCTGAGTAGCCAGGAGTACAGACATGAGCAACATTTTATCCCACTATATAGATGAGAAAGTCTAGGTTTACTAAGGTCAAATGACCCTAAATCCTTCCTTCCTTCCTTCCTTCCTTCCTACTTTCCCTCCCTCCCGCCTTGCTTCTTTTTCTGTTTTGGTAGTATTAGGGGTTTGAGCCCAGGGATCTGTGCTTGCTAGGCAGCTTTGGAGAAACAGATACAGTCCTCAGTCTTGTCTCATCCCCAGCTAAGCCCCTCTCCCACTCCCTGACCTGGAAGAGCTGCTCTGCAGATTTGGGGGCCTAAGATTCTGGAGATAGCAGGAAAGCAATGATTGAGACCACCCAAGAGCGGCTGTGAACCCCATAGGGAAACATTGTTAGAGACACTGGGAAACAGAGGCCTAGAGAGGGTCAGGAATGCTTTGAGTCCATACAGCAGGTGTGTGGGCAGGCAGGGCCACCTGATACCGGAAGAGGAAGAAGCTGGGGTCCAGAGGGTTGTTTTGGATAGCACAGTTGATACGGTGCAGTGCGTGCCGCAGCTTGCCCTGAACAGCTAGGATTCCAGCATCTTTGTGGGCCTGATTGGCTTGGTCCACCATCTTCTGGAGCAGCACTCTGGCCTGAGCGTGCTTGGGTTCCAATAGCAGGGCACTGCGCAGGTCTCGGTAGCAGAGTTTGGGCTGCAGGGAACATCAGAGGCACCAGCTAGCTAAGATGAGGGCTTTCCTGCCTAGTGGGTGTGGGGTGTAAAGGAGGGGAAGTCTTCTGGGTGCCACGCTGGCTCCTTGCCATCCCTCCTTGGTGTCTTCCATGTCATTGCTCCATCACTTCTGCCTCTTGAATGGGGTAGGGAGCATTGTGGGAAAATCCCATCTCCAGCCTCATCTTTACCATCCCCCTTTCCAGGTGAGCCACTCCTTGTAGGAGAGCTGAGAGCTCATTTGAGGCAAAAGGGAGTGTGCAGCCTCTTGACTATCACTGTGCCATCCTCCCCATCGCCCTAGCCCCTCCCCCACCTCCTGACCTCTGACCCCAAAACAACTTGGAATAAAACCAGATTCAGGCCTAGGTATAAACAGAAAACATCCCCAGTGGGTGTGCAGGTCAGTTAGCCAACCAACATTTTTATCAAGTACTCCATGCCTTGTAGTGTAACACTTTGGAGAAGTGGACGGGGCAGCCTGTGAGCAGCAGGGGTGAGGGGGAATGATGGTGGAGGCGCACGGTGCCTTGGGCTCACTGCAACACCAGAGAACTGGTTGTGTGGCCTTGGGTAAGGGACCCAGAGCTGTTTCTCCCTCTACTGGGCTACTGGGAGGCCCACGCCAAGCAGGGGAGGCTAAAATCCAGTCACCAAAAATTGTCAATAATTACTAGTCTCCAGCCTTAGGAGACTCGCCCACTGAGTCACGTGCATGCGGGAGTGGGGGGGGGGCGAGGGGGAGGAGTTGTCTGGACGACTTCCTCAGCCACCCTCAGGGGGCAGTGTGGCTCCTCCTTACTGCCCAGCTTGCCTCACCTGGTGAGGGGGAGGGGAGCCCAGCCTGCCTCGCTGACCCTTTCCTGGCCTGTCGCCATCGCCTGGGCCTGCCAGGGGCCACAGCAGCACAGTGTGCTGCAGCTTCCTTCCTGTCTGAGGGTCTGGTGCCCACTCACGCAGGGCTGGGGGACCTACCCCCCACTCCCCTCACCCACCTCCTCTCATGCTCCTTCTACACTGGTGCCTCTGGAAAGACCCAGGGAGCCCCAAACCCCCTCCTCCCCTGGGTCTCCTTCGCCCCTTAACCAGTCTGTCTTGTCTCAAGCCATGAACATATTGTCCTCACCCTGGTGGGGACAGAGAAACAAAGCTTATTCATTGGACAAATAGGAGGAGGGAGGGAGGGTGGAAAGGAAAGAAAAAAGGAAGGAAGGAAGGAGGGAAGGAAGGAAGGAAGGAAGGAAGGAAGGAAGGAAGGAAGGAAGGAAGGAGGGAGGGAGGGAGGGAGGGAGGGAGAGAAAAGAGGGAGGGAGGGAGGAAGAAGGGGAGGGGGAAGGAGGAGAAAGGTGTTCAGGGTACCTTTCTGCATGCCACTTCCCTTACCCAATGCTTCAGTCATTCTTTGTATAATTATGTTTGGAGATGCACCCCTCATCCCGGTCTGAGAGCTCTGAGGGGCTGGGGCAGCATGGGTCTCTCATCTGCCAGTTTCTTTGGGGCCCAGCACAGCTTGGCATAGAGCAGGGCAACTACACAAATGTAGTCAGGTGGCACAGCTGGCCAGGCCCTGTGCCCCAGGAGGATAACACCCAGGGCACTGTGGAGACTGGACTTGCTGATAGCCTTGTCCCCTCCAGTAATTTTGGGACATATTGGAGGCTCTCAGACTGGGGGGGGGGGGGAAGGGGGGGGGATACGCCTATCCCACCTGCCCTATGCTACCTTCTGGAAGAAGTTGTAGAGTCTAGCCCGGAGGAGGTAGATGTCAGCATTATTTGTTCCTTGCTTCACCTCCTTGTTGATGATTGCCAGGCAGTCCTGATGTCGCTTGAGGGCCAGGAGACAGGCCATGCTGAGGGGAGAGGGTGAGGGTCCTATCCGTCTGGGGAGGTGGGCAGGAAGGGGCACTGGGAGCAGAGGGGGCATGCCAGCACTCACCATCGGTAACGGAAGCAGGCTTTATGGGGCTGGAGCTCAAAGGCATGCAAGAAGATATTCAGGGCATCCAGGTAGTCACATTGCTCAAACATAGACTGACCCTGGACACAGAGGACACTCGCTTCTGCTTCTGACCTAGCCCAGCCATGCCCATTTGCCAGTGGAGGAGAACATTACATTGGGGCAGAGAAGAAATACGGGGACAGAGACATTTAGATCCAGGAGAGACTTTAAGAGGCAGGCCCAGAAATGGTGGAAGATAGAGAACTAGGGAGAGACAAGAAACCCTGAGAAATATACTCTTGGTGTGCACATATGCACACACGTACACACACATACACAAAGTCAAAATGGAAAAAATATATCAGTACTTGGGTGTTTTTTTTTTTCTCTACTAGGACTTGACCTCAGGGCTGGGCACTATCCTTAGCATTTTGGCTCAAAGCTGGTGCTCTACCACTTTAAGCCATAGCTCCACTCTGGCTTGTTTGGTGATTAATTGGAGATAAGGGTCTCTTGGACTTTCCTGCAGAGATTGGCTTTGAACTGTGATCCTCAGATCTCAACCTCCTGAGTAGCTAGGATTAGAGAATGGAGCCACTGGTACCTGGCCATTTGTTGGTGGTTTATAGTTATCTATCAATTTTGAATTTTATTGATTTGCAAACGAGTCACTGTTACTCTTTCTGTGCTCAGACAAAGTATCTCTACTCCAGATCTGTGCTGTCACTACAACAGCACTGGCTGTACATCGTATGCAAATCTCAAGCATGCCTCATGCATGCCAGACAAATACTATACTACAGGGAAAATAAAACTTGCTACCAGCTCAAATAAAATTAAAAATTCAGTCAGGCACCACTGGCTCACACTTAGCTACTCAGGAGGCTGAGATCTGAAGATCACAGTTCAAAGCCAGCCTGGACAAGAAAATCCATGAGACTCTTATCTTCAATTAACCACCAAGAAGCTGGGGAGTGGTGCTGTGGTTCAAATGATAGAGCACTAGCCCTGAGCAAATAATCTCAGGGCAGTGCCCAGGCCCTCAGTTCAAGTTCTAGGACTGGCACAAACAAATTAAAATTCAATTTCTTAGTTACATTTGCCACATTTCAAAGGCTCAGCATTTCCATGTGGCTGCTGGTGACCCTAATGGGCAGCGTGAGCAGATCATTGTCATGGCTGCAGGAAGTTCTATCAGACAATGCTGTAAGGCTTTCCTAAGCCAACCACGATGGTGAGGAGCAGCAGGTGGGGACACAGATACTGGAACAAGAAGTCCTTGAGGAGATAGGACCTGTCCTAGGGCTGAGGAAAGCCTCCTACAGCCAGAGGTTGGCTCAGTAGGCTTGTTGGGCCCCAGGAGGCTCAGGTACCTGCAGGTAAAGCACAAAGGTGAGCCGCTCCAAGTACTTGGTGTTCTCTGGCTGGAGGACGCATGCCTTCCGCAGGTTCTGGGCAGCCGAGGAAAAGTCACAGACCTGGATGAAGGCTTCAGCGCGTAAGGCGTAGAATTCGATCTGAGGATGAGGCACCCTTGCTATTGTCCCCTCCCTATCATCAGCCCTTCAGGGTAGGGGAAGGCATCCACCTCCCTGAGGCTTGATACCCAGTTTCCCATAGAGACTTGGAGGTCCTGGGAGGAGCCAGTAGGTGTGACAGTGAGGGAGAGGGACACTGTATACCAGAAGCTCTCTGTCCCTTGCCTCCTCTTACCATCTTGGGGTCCAAGTGGAGGGCCCGGGAGAAAAACAACACCGCCTGTTCCCATTGTTCCTGCTCCAGGCACCTATAGCCTCGTCGGTAGCTATAGGGGATAAGATGGTGCAGGCTTTGGGGCTGATCAGCTGAGGGTATAGGGCTGGGCATGAGGTAGGTGGGAGAAGACAGAGTTGGGTAGAAAGGCAGGGGACACACACACACACACACAGACAAATACATAGACACATATATAAAAACACACGTTTTTGTGCATATGCTGGTATTAAGTCTTGAACTCAGGGCCTTGTGCTCTTGCCTGGCTTTTTCCAGTGAAGGTTAGTGTTCTGCCACTTGAGCCACACTTCCACTTCTTTTTTTTTTTCCTTAGAAATTCTTTTTTAAATGTAATGTTGCTATACAGAGGGGTTCCATTAAATGAGTAAGGTAATGAGTATATTTCTTGTCCAGCATTGTTATCCCCTCCTTTGTTTTTGTTTTTTGTTTTTGGGTCCGATTGTAGGGCCTGAACTCCGGGCCTGGGCGCTGTCCCTCAGCTCTTCAGCTCAAGGCTAGCGCTCTACCACTTGAGCGACAGTGCCACTTCCGGCTTTTTTCTTTTTTGCTTATGTGGTGCTGAGGAATCAAACCCAGGGCCTCATAAATACAAGGCAAGCACTCTTCCACTGAGCCACCTTCCCAGACCCACTCCTTTGTTTTTATCCTACTATTTCTTCCCTCCCCCACCTTCCCGACTCCTCCCCCCTTGCGCCCGAAGTTGTAAATATGATTTCCAACATAGTGTCTTGTGAGTGTCATTGTTGCAATGGGTCATCCTGTGTCCTTGTTTCAGCATTTTGTTATTCCCCTTCCCCTCCTCAAATTAGATAAATGTATATACAAAATTCACACACCTCTACTTCTGACTTTTTGGTGGTGAATTGGAGCTAAGAGTCTCACAGACTTTCCTGTCTCAGCTGCCTTTGAACTGGAATCTAAGCTTAGATATCAGCCTCCTGTATAATTAGGATTACAAGCATGAGCCACTGGTGCCCAAAAGGGAGGAGCTGGGGTAGAGTAGTGGCTCAAGGTTGTGCTGCATAGTGAATGGCTGAGTAGGGTCAGAGCCTGAGCTTGTGGGACAGGGCAGTCACTTACTACTCTATGACTTTGAGAGGCACTGTATATCCTGTGGCCCTTGGCTTATCCTCCTCTGGATCGTAGAACACCCTGCTCGACCCAAAGATGCGCTGCAGGGTATCCTCGGGTTGTGGGCTTGCCCATGGCGTTCTGATGTTCTGTGAGTGATCCTTATCATGCGCTACAGCACCCTAGAACAAAGGACAGCAAGCTAGTGCAGGTCTCATGGATGACGGGGGAGGGTGTGTGGAAACCAGGCCTGGTGAGAGATAGCCCCGCTTATTCATAGTCCTGTGGCATTCTGGCTCATTTCCTTAGGGATGTTCCAACCTTCTTCTCTGAAGTCTTGTCTCTCTGCCTCTCCAGTGGTCCAGGTTGGGGATCAGAGTCCTCACACTCATACTACCCTCTGGTATCCTCTGGGATTTTCCCAGATTCTACCTCCTGCTCAGGATCCCCACAGTTGTAAGGTCCCCATTTAGATCCTGCCCCTCCTGGCAGGCCTTGGAGTTTCCCAAGCCTTTTGGATAACCAGAGGGACCATTACCTGTCCAGCAGGCTACACTCAGTAGACACCTCATCTGACTTCTTCCATAGATTTTCCTATCTTGGTGTGGTCACCTTCCCCACTGGCCATCACAGCCAGAACTACCTTGTCCATTCAGGCCTTCAAATCCTATCTTTTCCTCTTCCTCAGAATCTCTGATACCCCAGCGTGGATGGCTCACACCTGTAATCCTAGCTACTCGGGAGGTCGAGCTCTTTGGACCACTGTTTCCTCAGTGAGACTCGTATCTCCAATTAGCCACCAAAAAAGCTGGAAGTAGAGCTGTGGCTCAAGAGGTAGAGTGCTAGCCTTGAGTGGAAAAATCTACGGGAGAGTGCCCTGGGTTCAAGGCCCCAGTACACACACACACATACACACACACGCACCCCTCAGCTTGCTTCTCTTCTCTTCCTTGTCCCCTTGTTCAGGTCAATGTCATCTCGGTCTAATGCCAGTTCCGGCCACTCTCTTCCCCCCCCCCCCCCCCCCCCCCCCCAGCCACAAGTTGGGAATCGCTTTCTGCGTACAAGCCTTCGGGCCCTGCCTTCTGCCTTGGCCCTTGGCTTTAGTGTTCCTTCTCCCCAGTCCGCACCTGTTGGGAGTCTGTCATGAACCCCCGACGCGAACCCCTTTCCGAGAGGACCTCCGGCGGGTGCCACCTCCAGCGCTGCCTTGGCCCGGCTCGCACCTGGGCTTCCGGCGTTGCTAGGCACCAGCTGCAGGATGCCCATAGGCTCCGCCCTCCTAGCCACGCCCCCGGGCTCCACGGGTAGTTTACCAACTTCTATTAGTTGAGGAGGCTGAGGCCCACGGGAGGGAAAGAATTGGCCAGATTTCTGCGACGAGGGAGGAGGGCGGTGGCGGAGGACACCACGGGGCTCTTTCCTCCCACGCCGAAGATTGAGCCAGGGCTCTGAGAATGAGGCACAGGCCCGCAGGGGCCACGCTGACGGTGGAATGCGCCGGAGCGGCCGGACACGTCACCTCCTTACGTCATTTCCGCCCCTCAGAAGCATGGCGTCCGCGAGACTCGGCCCGGATTGGATGTCTCCGCGACAGGTGGCGATGTAATTGGCTTCAGTCTGGATGACGTCAAGGGGCGGGGGCTGGGCTGTGAAGGGGGTAAACATGTCGCCGTCCGGTCTTTTGCGCGCGGAGCTGTGGCTGAGTCGAGCCATGAGCCGCCGCGTTTTGGAGCCTGGCTGCCCCACGAAGCGGTGGCTGGTGAGTGGGCTGTGGGCGACGACGTAGGGTCCCTAGCTCTAGTTCTGCCATTATCTTCCAAAGCCCCAGATGCCCTTTCTCGAGTTTTCTTACCTACAAAATGATCCCAAACTCGACTGCCTCCAAACTTGCCGGAGCTCGGCTCCTGCCTCGGGGCGCCGTGCGCGTCCCGACTTTGGGAGCTTCTGAGGGGTTTCCGGGCCCCTTTGAGTCCCTCCCCCAGTCTGGCCCTGCTGTTCGTTTCTCTTCTGCTTTGGGTCCCAAGGGACGCGCGCTTTGGGATGATGAGTGTTGTCTGGCCTCAGTTTCCCTGGTGCGGCCGGCAGGTGGCTGGCCTAGGGAACCCGGGACTGCCCGGCACGAGGCACAGCGTCGGCATGGCGGTGCTGGGACAGCTGGCGCGGCGACTGGGAGTAGCGGACAGCTGGACGCGTGATCGGCGCTGCGTCGCCGACCTTGCCCTGGCCCCGCTCGGGGATGATGCCCAGTTGGTCCTTCTTCGTCCTCGGCGGCTCATGAACGCCAACGGGCGCAGCGTGGCCCAGGCTGGTGAGTTGAGGGCTGTAGGGGCGGACCGACAGGGAGGGTGTTGGGAGCAGAGAGGGGCCCTGGCTGCAGTAAACACCTCTTGAGCTCCAACCGCTGCATGTCCCAGTACTTTGGGAGCTTTACTTTCTTTGTATGTGAAGTGGGGTTCATTGAAGTCCCTCATTGTGGGCAACTCCCTTCAAGGCAGATAGGCAATAACCTGGGCCATGTTTTCCTGTGCCAAGCCAAGCTGTTTGGACTGACTGCAGAGGAGGTATACCTGGTCCACGATGAACTGGACAAGCCCCTGGGGAAGCTGGCTCTGAAGCTGGGGGGCAGTGCCAGGTGAGGTTTGGGATGCTGGAATGCTGACCTTCCAGTTGGGGTGGAGTAGGGCAGCTGCCCTTCCTCCTCAGGAGGAGGCCATGCTGAGGGCAGCCTGGACAGGGTTGGTGGAGGCTGCTGACCTAGGGAGGCAACTGACTATTTATTCTTCCTCCATCCCTTGAAGGGGCCACAATGGAGTCCGATCCTGCATAAGCTGTCTCAACTCCAGTGTGAGTCTGCCCCTCTGTGCTGTACCGGGAGGGGGCAGCCAACATGGGGCCCCAGCCATTTCTCACCAAAGCCCTCTGGTTCCCTCTGGCTCCCCACAGGCAATGCCAAGGCTGCGGGTGGGCATTGGGCGCCCGACGCATCAGAGTGCAGTACAGGACCATGTCTTGGGCTGCTTCTCTCCTGATGAACAGGAGCTTCTGCCTCCGTTGCTAGACAGGGCCACCGACCTGCTCCTGGAACACATCCGTGCTCGAAGCCAGGGGCCCTCATCAGGCCCCTGACACCAGGAGACTATGGCTGTCTGTCTAACCACAATGCCCACAAATCCAGCCACGACCACAGAACTGCCAAGCCCACCTGTGGTATCCACTTTTTATATAACTCCTCTTTGGGCTGTCTCTGGCCACTTGCAGATTCAAGAGGTGGCCAAAACAGCTCATTTCTAGGATAGAGGGCTGGTCTTCTCTCCACTTGCTGCTTGGGATGCAGGAAACGTTTAAGGAAAACTAAACTTTTTGAACCTTTTTAGAGAGGCAGGCATGTAAACCTGTAAGATTAAAGATGCCAGTGAATTCTGAGGTCTCCTGGGGATGGAGTGGGGAGGGTGAGACTGATCCTTCCATAGCTAGGGGTGGGGAAAATTGGGTTCCAGCAAGCTCCCTTCCCAAGATGTATGTGAATGCCTTAGCCTACGGAGGGCCCTGTGTAGCATTCTGCAGTCCATATTGCAGATGGGGATGCTCAGAGGTCCCACTACAACCTTAAGGCCACCCCACTGTAGCCTGGTGGGATTACAGTATGCACCCAGGGCTGGCTGCCACCTTGCTGTCCCTGGGGCCCTGGCACCTCAGTAGATCTGCTTGTCTTGAAGGTCCCCATGCGGGTGACATAGGAGAGCTGCCTGAGGTCCTGAGGGTTGGGTGGAATGTGGGAGCGGCGAGGCACTAGGCCTAGGTCTCCTGGCTGGTAGGAGGTAATGCCAGACAGGTGCTGCATCAGAGACGTCATCTTGGGCGGCTGGTTGCTGGGACAGCTGTGGGAGAAGTGGGGTCATTACATCTACACATCTGTCTCCCGGAAGGGGCCCAGGGTCATCTGGTTTTTGGGTTTTTTTGGTCAGTCATGGGGCCTGAACTCTGGGCCTGGGCGCTGTTCCTCAGATCTTCAGCTCAAGGCTTGCATTCTACCACTTCTGTGGTAAAAAAGACACTTCTGGCTTTTTCTGCTTATGTGGTACTGAGGAATCGAACCCAGGGCCTCATGCATACAAGGCAAGTGCTCTACCACTGAGCCACCTTCCCAGCCCCTGAGTAGTTTGTTGGAGATAAGAATCTCAGATACTCTTCTGCCTGGGCTGGATTCAAACCATGATCCTCAGATCTCAGCCTCCTGAGTAGCTAGAATTACAGGCATGAGCCTGTATCCAGCAATCTCCTAGTCTTTTTGGTTTCAGTTTTGCAGATAAGGTCTCATACCAGGGTCAGCCTTGGCCTTGATTTTCCTTATCTCTGCCTCCTGTCACTGAGACTACAAGTGTGTGCTACCATGTCTGGCTTGGTTGTTTTGTGTGTTCTTCCTGGGTTTTAACTCAGGGCCTAGACACTGACTTTGAGCTTTTCTGCTCATGGCTTGCACTCTACCTCATTGAACCATAGCTCCACTTCTGTTTTTTAGATGATTAATTACACATAAGAGTCTCATAGACTTTCCTGCCCTGGTTGGCTTCAAACCTTGATTTTCAGATCTCAGTCCCTCAAGTAGCTAGAGGTGTGAGCCACTGTCACTTGGCTATGTGGCTTTTTTGTTTTTGGCCAGTCCTGGGGCTTGAACTCTGGGCCTGGGTGCTGTTCCTCAGCTCTTCAGCTCAAGGCTAGCACTCTACCACTTGAGCCACAGCACCACTTCTGGTTTTCTGGTGGTTTATTGGAGATAAGAGTCTCATGGACTTTCCTACCCAGGCTGGCTTTGAACCATGATCCTCAGATCTCAGGTGGCTGTCTTGTGACTTGTTTTGAGCTAGATTCTCACTAACATTTTGTCAAGGCTGGCTTTGAGTCCTGGTCATACCACCTTACCTCTACACCTCCCCAGTAGCTGAGATTACAGGTGTTAGTCACCATGCCTAGCTTCCATGGCTGCCTTTCCTGAGGCCACACAGGACCACCTGCTCACCTCTTCTTGTGGGAAACACTGCTCTGGTTATTTCGGGCATAGCTGCTCCCGGGGCGGCTGCCCTGGGGCTGGCTGGCCCGGGATTGGATGCTCCGGGGTCGGCTGCTTTGCTTATACACAGACAGGTGGGGTCTCTGGAGCACCACACAGCTGAGCTGGGCTAATAGTTGCTGTAGCAGTTCTTTGCGCTGCATCTGGAGGATCACGCTGAAGTCACTGTCCTGTTCTTCTGCTTTCATCTGCCGGTAAGGATGATATCAGGCCTACAGTGGCCCCAGAACCCACCTATCTCCACATGGGAACCTCCAACCCCACTGCCCGTTTTCTTAGCATCTGTACCCTGGCTGAAGTGGGATACCCATTCTCCAATTGGAAAGACTTCGGTTTGAAGCTTTCCAGAGCCTTGGAGAAGGAATTTGCCTTTTTGGAGATCTTTTTTTTTGGTCAGTCTTGGGGCTTGAACTCAGGGCCTGGGCACTGTCCCTGCGCTCTTCAGCTCAAGGCAAGTGCTCTACCACTTGAGCTACAGTGCAACTTCCGGTTTTCTAGTGGTTTATTGGAGATAGGAGTCTCACAGTCTTTCCTGCCTGGGCTGGCTTTGAACCACGATCCTCAGATCTCAGCCTCCTGTGTAGCTAGGATTATAGGCGTGAGCCACCGGTGCCCGGCTTCCCTGAGCATTTCTGCTCAAGGCTAGTGCTCTATTATTTTGAGTTACAGTGCCACTTCTGGTTTTCTGATGGTTAATTGGAGCTAAGAGTCTCATGGCTTTTCCTGCCTGAGCTGGCTTTGGAACTGAGATCCTCAGATCTCAGCCTCCTGAGTAGTTAGGGTCACAGGCATGAGCCACCAGCTTCAGGCTTTCTTGGCGATCTTGAAGGGATCTTACAATCCTGACTCAGCAAAGGAGTCTGGGCAAAGAAGAGCCTGTAAACCAGGCCCTGCTCAGCCTCTGCCTCCAGGTGGTGCTGTTCTTTGACAAGCAATTTCTGTCCTCGGTACTTCTAGCCCCTGTGCCTCCTGTTTCCTGTTCACCTGCATAATGTCCTGTAAGAAGGAGGTTGCCTGGGACAGGACTAGCTCCAGATTGGCTCGGACCTTCTGCTCATCAGTCAACTCCTGCTTTAGCTCCTCAATCTCGTCGTGCTGCTGTTCCACCTTCTGGGTCAGCTCCTCTATCTGGTTCCTGGTCCATGACAGGATGAATCAACTAGTGTACCTCCTCCCCAGGCTGGGACTGCCCTCACCTGAGCCCTCCTGGCCTCTCAGCCTATCAGACAGATATGAGGCCTCGAAGCCCCTCCAGGAGGAAAAGTCATAGGCCAGACTATGTGGTCCAAAAGATATGGGCCAAAACTGGCACTCTCCCGCCCTGTGACTCCGCTCCCCACAGGTGCACCTGAGCCTCTGGTTGTCTGTCTGCAGCTGCAGGAAGCTCTGCTCCAGGTGGCCCAGCATGAGGCGCAGCTGCTCGGCCTGCATCACGCCCTGTTGCTGTTCTCGGCATTTCTCAGCTAGCATGAGGATGATCTGCAGAAGATGGGCAGGTGGCCACACTGCAGTCCTGCTGTGGGGCCCCAGACCCTCCCTGCCCACCAGTTCGCGACACAACATGACCATGCTTGCCTCAGAGGTCAGCACACCTCTGGACAGCATGGGCAGGGATGGGCTCCATGTCATAGTATGCAACAGGAAATCTAGTGCGGGGCCAGCACCTGGAGTTCCCACCACAAGGCCTCGTCCCCTCCCCGTGGCGCCCTCCCTCGTTACTTAGCTTCAGCCTGGGGTCCATTCTGAGGGCCAGCAGGGCCCCAGGGTTCCCTCCTTTTGTGTGATGGCAGACACACACCTTCTGATGGCCTTTGCTGTTCCTGGCCATGACCTTCTGGATGCTCTCCAGCACCCCCACCTCTTGGCACAGCTGGCCCTGGTGGTCCCGGAGCTGCTCGTTCTCATGCAGCAGCTGCACGCCTTGTTGGGACACCTTGGCCAGCTTCATGGTCACAGTGCTGTTCTCCAGGATGGCCCGCTTTGTTGTCTCCCACATCTGGTTTGTGGCCATCTTCCGAAAATCAGCAGCCACCAGGTTCACGCGCTGAATAATCTCCTTCCTCAGCCTGGTCAGGACCGTGGGAGTGGAAGGGGTAGAAGAATTCAGGTAGATGGGCAGAAATCCAGATGGCCCCTCTTTCTGTTGGGGTCCCTGGAGCACCCATGGCCATTAAACACCTCTAGGCCTGGGTAGGAGTCTTTTCCCCCATAGACTCTAGGCCTTTGAAACTCCAGCCATGGCAATGTATCATCGCCTAGCAAATGAACAGAATTGACATCACAAGAAGTCCAAGAATTCTCTAAAGGCAGCCTGAGGCTTGGAGCTGACAGCTCACCTGGGTGGAAGAAGTAAACCCCAGCCAAGGCTCCATGGAGCAGGGGCTGGGAGGGGGCAGGGAGGGGGCGTGTCAACAACTTAGTCCAACCCCCAACCCAAAGCTGAGGATGGAAAGCTGGCCTGTGTGTGGCCACAGCAGGGCGTCAGGTCTGCCCACCTGTCCTTGTCCAGCACTGACTGCTTCTCCAGGTTGTAAATGTATTCCTTGTAATCCGCTTCCTGCTTCTGCAGCTGGTCCTCCAGTGACTCGAACTTGATCATGAGCTCCTCTTTCTGCAGCCGGAATTCCTCTAGGGCTGCCAGCTTCCCCACTGCCCACCAGAGGGCACAGGCCTGATGAGAGGGCTGCCAGCTTCCCCACTGCCCACCAGGGGGCACAGGCCTGATGAGAAGACTGCCTTACGGGCCTTGAGGGATGCCCCCAAGTGTCCCGTGGCATACAGGTCCTGCGCACCATTCTCATCTTCCTCTTGAGATGCCCTGCGGCCTCCCTGCCACTAATGTTTTTTGTGGGGCTTGAACTCGGCCTGGGCGCTGTCCCTCAGCTCTTCAGCTCAAGGCTAGCGTTCTACCACTTGAGCCACAGCGCCACTTCCGGCTTTTTTTCTTTTTGCTTATGTGGTGCTGAGGAATTGAACCCAGGGCCTCAGGCATGCAAGGCAAGCGCTCTACCACTGAGCCACCTTCCCAGCCCCCTGCCACTAATCTTACAGAGCCTCATTCAGATTCCCACCTCCTCCAAGAAGCCTCCCTTGATTCTGTTCTCTACTCACACATTAACAGTGACAATGGCAGCTGAACTTGGATACCTCGGGGCCAGCCAGTCAAGCTGCCCTTTCACACCCCCCCGGAGCTATTATGTGTGTGCACACGCATGTGTGTGTGCATGTATCTGCGCACACCAGTATCAGGGCTTGAACTCAGCTTGCACTTTGACTTGCACTTCTGCTCAGCTTTCTTACGTGTAGTTGGTGTTCTACTACTTTAGCCATCTGTCCAGGCTGGCATTTTTGGTAGTTGAGTTGGAATCCCCTGAACTTTTTTTTTTCCTGGGCTGGCTTCAAACTGTGATCCTCTAGATCTCAGCCTCCTGAGTTGCTAGAATTGTACATTTGGGCCACTGGCCCTCAGCTAGGACTATTCTTGTATCCGTTTGAGCCACAGCTCCACCTTTGGCTTTTTTGGTGGTTTTTAGAAAAGAGTCTTATGGACTCCTGACTGGGTTGGCTTTGAACCACTATCTTTAGATCTGAACTTTCTGAATAGCTAGGATTATAGGTATGAGCCACCAGCTCCCAGAAAGACTATTCCTTTTGAAATACTTCCTTGTAAAAAAAAGAAAAGAAATACTTCCTTGTACAAATTGGGAGAGGAGTTGGGGGACAATTAAAATGATGTATTCAAAGAGGCACGCGCTTGCTCTTACTCTAAGCTGTGTTAGCCCCGTTTCCCAGGTGAGAAAACTGAGCCCTGCATCCCTCACTGGCATGCACCCACAGGTCTGCCTGCCCAGTGCTCTCCTTACCTAGGACGATGTTCTCCGTGGTGAGTTGGTCCTTGGTCTCCTGGAACTCGTGGCGCACCTGTGCTAGCTGGGCCTCAAATGCGTCTTTCTCCATCTCCTTGGCCAGCTGCAGGGTCTGCAGCTGCTCATTGAGGTCGGTGATCTCATCCACCCTCTGGTTGAGCGTGCGCTTGAGGAAGGCCACAATCTCTTTCTTGTTGTTAGCTAGTTGCTCAAACTCCTGGCGGAACAGTTTCTCCTGCACAGCCAGCTCATCCCACTTCCGCTGGTACCTGGGGTGGGGCCCAGGCGGAGGTCCAGGGTCCAGCTGGGCATCTGCAGCCGGACTTGCTCTCCCGACTCCTCCTCCCTCCGGCTCTGAATCTAGCCTCATTTTCAGCTGTGTCTGCCCCCTGATTGGTGGTCTTGACCTCAGCCAACCCCTGTGCTCAGCCTTTTGTGCTTATTCCATCACCAGGACATAAGCCCCGTGGGGACTCGGCCTTTACTAGGTTCACATGGCAGGCCCCATGCACCTCGTACATGGCGTGCACCTGTGAAGGAATGCTTACAGCCACCTGGGAGGGCATACGCGGAGGCTATGCTAATCGTCCCCATTTCCTAGACAAATGGAAGCCACGAAGAAGTTTGTAAGTGGTGAAGCTAGAGCTTGAACTGGTCTGTTAGGAGAGATGAGACAGCCCTAACGGGTGTGGGGGTTGCCAGCCAGCTCTGCGCCCCTTAATTCTTCCAACCCCTTCTTCACAACCGCCTTCCCTACCCTGCTCATCAACTGAGCCTTAGTATTGCCTCCTTGAGACCCCTCCTGGCCCTGAGCCGTATTTGTGGCCTTCTCTTTGGCTCCGTCCTATGGGCGGGCTCTTGTCCTTTGGGACCTGGTGACAGAATCTCTGCTTGGTGGATCCCTGGCCTCCTTCACTTCTTCACTTCTCAGGGCGTGATGGGGCGGGGGGGGGGGGGGCGCAAATAACAAACATCCAGTACCAGTCTGTCTGAACATCCCCCCCCCCCCCCCATGCATTCCATGTGGGGTTTCAGAGCACCATGTAACTAGCCTGGTACCAGTGGCTCATGGTTGAGCCATCGCAGATCTCAGCCATGGTGCGATCTGAGGGTCATGATTCAAAACCAGCCCAAGACTCTTACTTCTTAACCACCCAAAGAGCAAGTAAGTTCTGGAACTCTGGGAGCTAAGAGAGGATGGGAAACCCACTTCTGCTAAGTGGGGTGGGGCGTGCCTGGACATCCCACTGCCTACCACAGCACAGGTCCAGAGCTCCCTGTTCAAGCCTACAAGGGCCGCTGACCCAGAAGCACCTCCCTGTGATCTTCCCTGCTGCCACTCACTTGGCCAGCCTTTCCTCCAGATCCTGAATCTGGGCATGGTAGAACTCTCGAAGCTCCTCTATAGACGATGTCTCCTCAGCCTTCAGGCCGGGGATGGTATCCTTCTTGTTCCCTTTCTTCTTCTTGGTCTCAAATTCCTTGCCTGTCTTGCTTGGCTTTTTGGGAGCCATGCTAGATGGCAACCACTAAACCAATGTCCTTTTAAAAGGCTAAGTGGTTGCTAAGGAAGTGGGTCCTGTACATAGCAACAGCCTCAGGGAATGAGGTAAGACTTAAAGGGCCCCTGTCTCACTGGCTTCCCCTTTTAAGGCAGAAACCACCACCTGAGGCCCTGGGTGTCCCAGGCAGGGGCATCTCAGACCAGCATGCCTGGCTTTTGGGCCTAGTTCTGGGTTCCAGAGAGTTGTTTCCTTCCTCTAAGTAGAAAGATATAAAAAATTAGAGGGCTGGGAATGTGGCTTAGTGATAGAGTGCTTGCCTAGCATGCATGAAGTCCTGGGTTTGATTCCTCAGCACCACATAAACAGAAAAAGCTGCAAGTGACACTGTGGTTCAGGTGGTAGAGTGCTAGCCTTGGGCAAAAGAAGCTCAGGGACAGTGCCCAGGTCCTGAGTTCAAGCCCCAGGACTGGCAAAAAAAAAATTAATTAGAATGGTCAGGGGCTGAGGGCATGACTCAAATGGTAGTGCGCCTGTGTAGTAATCTCTAAACCCTAGAAAAACAAACCTAGAATGGTCAGGGTCCCAGAAATCACCTGTTCCTTTGGGCCAATCAGAAAACAGAGGCCCAAAGAAGGCTCGGACCTCTTCTGGGAATGTCTTCTTTGAGGCCATCTTGTTACTTTTTCCATGTCATTCTCTAGGAATGCTGCATGAGCCACTGGTGCCCAGCTCTTTCAACACAATTTGTCCCTTCCCTTCCTGCCTGACACTCAAGATTCTGATTTTAGAGGTCAGGCTCCTCAAGGAAATGACTGAAAAGTTAATGTTTTTGGTGTATATAAAGAGGCCATTTACTAAGAACTGAGATCCCTTTACCACCAATTCTTAATATGCAGTGCAACTGGACTCTCATGTGGATAGAGACATTCAGAAGACCCCAGAATATAACACTGGGGAAATGCAATGATTAGGGTGAGCTAATCCTCTACAAATTCACTGCATGTCTATCAAGCCTACTTGTTAAGATGTCCTTAAGAGTAATGGGTTAAAACCAGGGTCTGATTTTAACATGTTAAGGAAGATCTGTTTCTTCTGAGAACAATGCCTTTAGTGACCTCATTATTTCCCACTGCCACCCCCCCCCCCTACCCTCCCCCCCCCCCCCCCAGTCTAATGCAGCCAACTCGCAGCATCACCACACCGAAACCATAGCCAAACTATACAGGAGAGCAGGATTTCATGAGAATGACTTTTTTTTTTTTTTTTGGTCCAGTCATGGGGCCTGAACTCTGGGCCTGGGCGCTGTCCCTCAGCTCTTCAGCTCAAGGCTAGCTCTCTACCACTTGAGCCACAGCACCACTTCCAGCTTTTGTTTTTTCTGCTTATGTGGTGCTGAGGAATCGAACTCAGGGCCTCATGCATGCAAGGCAAGCGCTCTACCACTGAGCCACCTTCCCAGCCCCCCATGAGAATGACTTGAGACAAGGGAGAGGGAGAAGAGAGGGAGAGAGGAAGAGAGAGGGAGACAGAGAGGGGGAGACAGAAGGAGAAAGAGGGAGAGGGAGGGAGGGAGGGAGTTCATCCAGAATCCACTGCTCTGAATGTCCAGCATTGTAGCAGGCTTCTCAGAACCTTGATGCTGACCTCAGGGTCACCTCCTTCCTGCAACTTGGGGATTGCAGAGCCCCCAAGTTGTGGGGTTTCAAGACCACACCTGTGAGAGCTGTGAACAGAGGAAGGGGCCAATATCCCTGAGGAAGGGGTCATTTAACTGTGTGCCCCAAATATGGACCCCACATGCTCAAGTAGGGGGCATCTGTAGACAGAATCCCACAGTATCTGAGGAGACAGGCAATCTAGAGAGGGAGGAACAGGGAGAGGAAGGCGGACCTTCTCTCTGGGGGACATCCTGTTTCTAGTGGCCCAAGACAAGCTTCATGGATTGGCCCAAATGCGAGACAGCCATGGAGATAATGTAAGCGATGGTGACTGGGCTCTGGAAGATGGAGCCACCGCCCAGGTTGCCACCCTCCTTTGGCTCCTGGGAGTAAAACCAGCCCGCACTTCACCTGACACCATGCATGGGCACTGATTTATTTATTAGACTCGAGTGCTTTAGTACAGAACGGTACAGAGATGATACATGTTTGTGCTTCGATACTTTCAAACACTGAGATTTCTGATAATTTCAAGGTAAACAAGTTTCAAGACAGACTAGCTTTTTTTTTTTAAATAACCTTTTGATAAATTATTTTTATATAAATAACAGAAAGGAAAATCCACGTTTGACAAAACAAGGTCCTGAAGCATAAGCATTGCTTGGTTGGAGGGGACAAAATAAGCAGACAGGGAGAAACAAACCAATGCAGGTTCCTACAGTTCTGTCCTAAGGAAATGAGACTTTGTAAGGGGGGCTGAGTGACAGGAAGAGGACTGAAAACTAATGGGAGTGCAGAGGGAGATTTCGGAGCCAGAAGAGAATGCCACAGAGCAGCTAACGGGGCAGGCAGAACGTATTTTCAAAAGGAAGGCGAACACCACAGGTACGAGACGCAGTAATATACACAGTCTGCGGGAGGGAGAGGGTGGCGGGGGGCTGGGCAAGGGGACATTTTTGTGACTTCCACTGTCATTATTTTTTCACAAGAACAGCAGCAGAACAAGTGGTGTGCTTGCTCCTGGGACCAGGAAACTGCTGAGTCCTGAGGATAAGATATCCTTCTAGCACTTGCTTCTTAACTTTTGCTTTACAGCTACATTTTATACAGCTACATTTTTATACAGAGAATAAAATGATCATTTTTTTTCTTACAACCACAAAGACATTACCACATACTACACAAAATAAAGAACTATGAAGTATCTTAGACTGAGGATTGTCTGACAGACCGCGACCACGCTTGCTGAGTGGAGTCAGCGTTGGCATCACCCGGGGGGAAGGGCAGAGCGCCTGCACCCTTTCCATGGAAAAAGCTCTCTGACCAGAAGCCACCAGGGCCTGTCTGTTCCAGTCCATTCCTACCCCATGAACGCTACCCAGGCTGACCCTTCTAGGGAAGAGGAGTTGTTTAGGGGGATGTGGGGGGGGGGAGGGGGTAGTCAACAGGGTCAGGAGGCCTCATGTTTTGCAGAGGCAAGCAGGTTCCAGTGGGAGCCCACTTTCTGTCTTGGCGGTGACAGGCGGGAGTGGGGTGGGGGGTAGGGGTGGGAGGCTCCCCCAGGGTCACAGCACAGTGGCCATGGGAAACAATGCCAGGCAATGAGCAGGATGCACCAGCTGGCACCCAGCCTGGCTTCATGTGGACATCCTTAGCCTCATCCACTGCTGTAGATCACCAGGGCACAAGCTCCTGGGGGAAGAAAAGAGGCCAGTTCCAGCTCCAGCCCCACGAGGTGTCTATGCCCTGATTGTCACTTCCTGGCTTATCTGGACGAGAAGAGGCAGCAAGGGCAGCAAGTGGAGTGCAGATGCCAGGTTAATAATCCTCAGCGTGAAATACTTTAAGAACATAGACACCGCTGATTCCCACGGAGGATAGGAATGACCCAAAACAAAAATGTGAAAATACCCAAACTCTACCTTTCCATACTCAAGCAGTTTGCAGGGTTTGCAGAGGGCTATGTACAAGGTCACGGAACCATAAATAAGGGCGAGGAGTCCATTCGGTCTAGAGTTCAAAAATGGCGGCGCAGCGCTTGCAGGTGAACTGCTCCTTGTAGTTACATATATAAGATACTCTTTTTAAAAAACACAATGCATTATTCTGTTTTGCTTCAAACGAGAAGAGGGCGTTATCAATCACGAGACCGCAGCGCGGGGAGGGTGGCCAGGGCGTGCAGGGCTGGGGAGGCAGCAGAGAAACTGAGGCATGGCGCTGGGGAGCCGCGGAGCACTCTGGGAAGGGGGCTGGGTTTTGGAGGGGCAGCTTAGATTTTTAACTGCTTATTTCTTCATCTGTTTTATTCAGTTTCTTCAGCGTGTCCAGCAGTTTCTGTGGGGTGAGGATGTGCGTGGATCCTGGGGAGGTAGAGAAGACAGTGAGCTGGCCTGCTCTGGCCGCCAGCTCATTCCCTGGTTCTTCTCCCTTCCCTGCCGCTGCTCCCGCCCCTCCCTGGCCTGGGTCCACTGACGCTGTGTGGGGGAGGGGAGAAGGGCTTGGGGCCCTGTCACATGAGAGACATTTAGGGACTGTGGCTAAATGAAACACATTCTGGGGCTCAGGCAGGGCCCCAGACTGCCTGTGTGGGAGCCCAGCACCACCCCAGGAGACAGAGGAGATGCATGTCTTATTCTCTTGCACTCCAGGTGAAGCCAGGGAGAGAAATTCCAAACATGGCAAAGGGAAGTGGTTGCATGGGGCAGGATTGGTAGTGAGATTGTACATGGAAATCCCGGGGGAATCACAAATGTCTGGGAGCCTGCCAAGGGGTGCTGGAATGGAGGTGGGACCTCAGGTGTTAAGAGGGAAAGGGCGGGGACCTGAGGCCTTACCTTGCAGAGACCGCGCTTTGTAAGAGATTAGAAATGCTTGCAAAAGTTTAAGCTAATGGAATTAGATATATTTCTAGTGCAAAAGTAAAAAATTAAAAAAAATTAAAAAATGAAAGACTTTTTCATAAGGAGAGAAAGAGAAAGATCTAAGAAGTGCAGTAAAAAATGATGCATGGATTGTGTGGTCTGGACATGGACTTAATCGAACAGAACAGGAGTGACGGGTGGCGTGAGCATGAGGCCTGCACGCATGCAGCAGTGCACTCCAAAGAAAGATCCTGGTGGGAAAGAAGAACTAAACAAAAGAGTTCCGTACTTGAAAATGTGCCTTCCTGGAGACCTGGGGAGGAATGGGCCTTCATAGGAGTGGGCAGTGGGAACACCAGATGTTTAGATTTTCATTCCAAGGACAGGCAAAAGAAGGCTTTGGCTGGCTTGTTGGCCATCATTCCAATACCAGGGTCTCTGTGCCTCTGACCACTACCTGCTTCGCTGACCTGGGACCCCTGGAGCTCGGGTGCTTCCCTGAAAGTCTAGACCAGCAGAAAACTTGTAGCATTTTCTCAGGCGGGAGAGGCATATTCCTGCAGCCTTATCTCTCTAGTAAAATTCAGTGCAGACTCAATTTAGCTTCTTTTTACTGGAAGGGGGACTTCTGATCAGGTGCTAATCCCGAAGTGTCCTCACCTTCTCATGTGTAAATTCAAGATTTGAGGAAGGCCAGAAAGGTGTTAGGAAACCCAGGCTCTAGAATTTTCTTATCTGACCACTGACCCATCTGGTCATTTATCTAGTCAACTGTTCTGTCCATTTTAACAGAATAATTCTAGGATAGGACCTTGGAAACAACCAGTGAAGCCTCTATGAATCTAAGTAACAGGAATATTACTTGGTCCTATAAAAGGGAACAGATTGGCTGCTATTAATCCAAGTCATCTGAAAGCTAATTATTGGTTGCTGGTGTTCAAACTCTATGCCTTACTGCTTCTTACTTAAACTACAGAATCCAAACTTCTCAGCAAATTACTCTAGAAGCCAGGCGTGTACAATCATTGTTGACTCATTTTCTTGCTGTTCCAATGGCAGCTGAGACCTTCTCAGCTGACTGACCGTGAAACAGAGGAGAACATGCTGCAAAGAAATAGCTTGTTTAGAAGCAGGGAACCCCAGAACCAGTGCTCACAGGAGCCCTGGGGCTGTGGGGCTCTGATTCTTTCAGACACTGTAGATGGTCTGTTGTCTGTCACTGAAGTATTGACCTAATATTAAAGACATTTTAAAATACATCCTGTAGCAATGCTGTCTACCTGCCTACCAGTGGCACACAGAAACATGTCTCTGGTTAACACACTATCAAGGTGCTTCTAGAAAATTTGGGCATTTTTTTTCCCTTAGAAAATTAGAGCTTGAAAACAGAAAAGAAAAGAAAAGAAAATTAGGGCTTCATCCTACCACTTATGAAGTGCAGTTCCCACCGCCTGGGAAGGCAGGAAAGGGAGAGGAAGGAACGAGGACAATATAGAATCAAACAGAAAAGGTGCTGCCAGGTAACAAGCTTGGTAGAAGAGAGAAGACAGAACTCTTTACACTATACAAATATCCAGAACAATGTCTCCTGAAGGGCTCCAGACCGTATATCCAGAGGCTTCAGCGGGAGAAGAGGTGACTAGCCACGGGGGGATAAACTAAAAGCAGCTCTGAGAGAAGTGACCTGTGCGTGCTGTTTTCTGCAGAGGAGCATGTGAGGAAAGCTCTTCCCACTGAAGAAGTGCAGTCATCAAGTCCTGGGGCGACACAGGGCTTGAGACCAATCACCCCTTGAATTGGTTCCCTAAAGGGCCTGTCCTAGGAAAAGGTACTCATTGGTGGGTCTTCCACTGACCTACAGTCTACTGGGAGCTCTCACCATCAGGTACCTGTCGCCATTCCCCTCCCCCCCTTCTTCCCGTCTTCTCTGAGTGTTCTCTTCTCTGGCCTCACTCTCAAACTTCCAAACCACATTACTGCCAGGAGGCTATACGTTTCCTGTGGTGCCCACAAGTTAACCCCTGGGATAGCAGGCTGGGAAACCATGCCTCAGGTACGCCTTAGTTCCAGCTCCCTCTTTAAGGGTTGCCTACACGGCTACATCAACTTTGGTTTAAACCAAGAGGCCCGCAGCTGTCTGCTGAGCGGTGTCACCCAAGGCACGAGGGACCCGGCAGGTCGGAGCCCAGGGTGTGACGGCAGCACTGGACACATTTTCAATCGGTGTTAAGAACTGCAAGCATTTTCTTGTTAAAAGAAAATTAAAGAAATAATAAACTAAAAAGGGAAAAGTAAAGAAAGAGTGACGGAATAATCAAAGAAAACCCTTCAGAGTAGAAGAGTTTCTTTTCTGTAATAAGCTGCTTTTACTTTGTTTCTTTGGCTCTCACTCCATTGTTGGAGCCTGATCCTCAAAAGATACCCTAGAGGACTCCCTGAAGTCGGGGTGTCTCAGGTCCATGAGAAATTTGGTGGGAGTAAGAATATGAGTAGAACCTGTGGGAGAACAGAGGCCAGCTGACTGCTTGAACAAAGGTACGTTACAGGAGCATGCCAACTTAGGCCTACAGTTTACGCAGCCAATGAGGCATGAAAAAAGCAAGACACGCACACGCGCACATGCGCACACGCACACACAGGCAGCAAGGGGCTGGCATGCATAAAGCAGGTGAGGCCACACAGCTGACAGCAACTGTCTAAGTGGTCAGACCCCTCTCCATGAACCCACACAGGTGACTTTCTATCCCTAGATTCCCACCTCCCCCTAAGGAACTTTGGGCAGGTCGAAAGCAGAAGAGGAAGGTTCACACCCAAAGCCTGGCTAAGATGACTTCTGTGTGGGAAAGTGGTGTGTGAGCTCAGATTTATCAATACATTCATGCAACATATATGCAAGCAGGGAACAGAGAGCTCTATTATGGGGCCTCTACCACAGAAAAGGAAAAACAATTCCTGGGAGAACTGGTGACCAGACCAGGGAAGCCTGCAGAGTGGGGGAGGGGCACAATCTTCCTTCTGGCCCACAGCCTCAGGACCATCTAGGTGGACTGGCCTAAAGAGCCTACTCACTTGCAGGCAGTGTGACTTGGTCACCCCAAACTGGATGACTTGTTATCAGGATAATGACTGTGCCTGGGATTATGACTGATGTAGGGGGTCAGGACGCCTTCCCAGCTGGGGCAGCTCAGGCCTGGCCTCTCTGCAGCAGTTCACACGTAAATGGCCCGTGCGGCCACCTGTAAGCCCTAGGAGTGTAAATCCCCATCAGGTGCACACTCCTTCCAAAGGGGGATCGGAATACTTGGTCTCCACGCTTGCTCAGCTTGAATGTGTCCTATTAAGGGCGACTGGCCAGGGCAGTAGATATGACAGTCTCCTGCAACTTAGTGTCAAGAGGGACCCCTGGGCAGGGGCCACTTCACTTTGTTAAGGACTTGCAGGATAAAAGGAGAGCATCTGGAAAGAGCAAGATGTCTCAGCCCTGGAGGTGAGAAGTACACGTGTCTCCTGCTGTGTTACGACAGCTCCAAGAGTTACTTCCTCTCTTTTGGAAACTGACAGGAAGCATCAAAAAGGACAGGGAGACTAGAAGCAGCAGGAGCCCGTTAGGGGACTTAACGGGGACTAGCAGTCAGGCCAGGAGGCTCCAGACAGTATCTGCTCACTTGCTGTCAATACAACCTCAACTGAGGGGTGGAGGAAGGAGGGTAATGGTTTTCCTCCCACCCACAGTCCAATGTTAGGAACCTGACACTCATCAGGTCTGGGTGAAGGCTGTAAGTGGGCGTTCTACACTGTTCTGGTAGGAAAGAAATGGGAGCCTGAGTACTCCAGCCACTTTCTGTGGCCCCGCATAGCAGTGGCAGTACTGAGCCTTGAGGCTGAGTCTGTTGGATCGTATGACCAGGTACTCAATGCCTCATGATGCTGCCTTTCAGTGAAAGACACAGTAGGGCAGACATGAGGAAGAAACCCCTGACCCCTTAAGTTTCTGCCACACAAATAGTTACCTAAGACTATGTTTTGCTGGGGTGATGAGGAGCTAGGACAGAACGCGACACCAAAGCATGGGATGGATTAACAGTGCGAAGAGGCAGCCTGTGTCTCTAGCCTGCATGCCCTACTTACCTATCAGCACTTCCCACTTGCCATTGGCCTGAGTCACCTCGTAAGCACAGCGCATCTCATTCAGGCTCACGCCCCCAAGGATGAAAATAATGAGGCGGGGGCCACTGCGGTACTCTCCTGGGGCCTTATTCTTATGCCAGTGCCCATAGCGGGCGCTGAGTGGAAAGAAGAAGAGAGAGAGAGATTAGTTGTGTTTCCACTTAAAAAATTATTCAGTGCTTCATCCCTCCATGTCTCTCGTTACACATTTGTTCTGTACAGTTGTGGCCCAAATAGAGTGGGTGCTTGGTAAGGGTTGGCTGAATTGTGATGAAATTTCAACGCTGTTTGGCTTCACCAGAAGAGTGACTCTGAGGGAGCTGGGAAGGTGGCTCAGTGGTAGAGGGCTTGCCTTGCATGCATTAGGCCCTGGGTTCGATTCCTAAGCACCACATAAGCAGAAAAAGCCGGAAGTGGGCGCTGTGGTTGAGGGACAGTGCCCAGGCCCAGAGTTCAGGCCCCACAACCGACCAAAAAAAAAAAAAAAAAAACTCTGAGCAACTCTGCTGGAATCTTTTTCACTCTCTCACAAACATGTAGATAGACTCAGTTCTAGTGTTGTATGTGTGAGGATCAGCATGGTACTGATTAGCCAGGTCGCCCATGTCCCTAAGCTTGTATGGGACCTAGTAGCACCGAATCAGAGGTATGTCTCAGGCCAGCACGCTGAGCCCTGAGCAGTTACCATGCAGGTATGCGGGTTTCCTGGGCAGGCCAGGTCCCCCACCCCCATTTCCCCAGGGAGAGATGGCCTTGAGAAACGGGTCTGAGCTGCTCTGATGCAGAAGAGCTGTGTACCATGGGGACAAGTACAGGGCATGGAGTCCTGTCCAGGTGTCACTGGGCAGGCACTTCCTGAAGGTGTGGAGAGTCATGTCTCCCCCTAGAGGGACTTGGCTTCCTTAGGAGGAATTTGATTCAGATATAGGGGGCAACAAGTTGTTTCCAGGTTAAAAAAAAAATGGGTGGGTGGGAAATGAATGGAAGGAAGAAGCCTCTTCTGGACACTGAGGTGTTCTGTCCTTCCCCCTGACTTATGACAGCATTAGTCATGTTCCAATCCAGAAGGCATGCAACAGGCACTGTCAGGGCCACTGGAGGCTCGACAGTCTGTTCCCTGTGCAGCCACTGGGTGTCCCTCCATCCTCGGCCAGTCTGGCTGTGCAGTGAACATTTTAGCTTTCACTGCCTCTGCTATTAGAGGGGTGCCAATGCCATACGTGCTACCCTTTGCTTCTGGCCTAGGTCCAGGAAAAGATGAAAAACAAAGACAAAGCCACAGCCACCAGTGCCAGAAGCTATCCTCTCTAGAGCCACCAAATCTGCTCTCCCCAGCTCGCATACTCTGCTTGATTATTCTCAGGAGCCACTGTCTGGATCCGCCACATTTTGTTTATGAATTTGTCAGTTGGTAGACATCTGGGCAGTTTCCACACTTGGGTTACTATGAATAGAGCTGCTATGACTCGAGTGTACTGCAATTTCTAAGCAGGGTGATCAGGGAAGATTAGGAAGGTGATACTTGATTAAAGAACTAACAGAAGCCGGGCGCTGGTGGCTCACGCCTGTAATCCTAGCTACTCAGGAGGCTGAGATCTGAGGATCGCGGTTCAAAGCCAGCCCGGGCAGGAAAGACCGTGAGACTCCTATCTCCAATAAACCACCAGAAAACCGGAAGTGGCGCTGTAGCTCAAGTGGTAGAGCGCTCGCCTTGAGCTGAAGAGCTGAGGGACAGCGCCCAGGCCCAGAGTTCAAGCCCCACGACCGACAAAAAAAAAAAAAAAAAAAAGAACTAACAGAAGATAGACATGCAAGTATATTTGACTAGATGATGTCAGGCAAAGGGAGAAGTAATGGCAAAGGTCCTCATAGTAGCCTTGTTTTGTTCAAGGTCGACCAAGGAGGCTGAGGGGGAGTGAGGGAAGGGAGGACAGAGGAGTCAGTGAGGAGTGGGAAGCCAGGGAGAGCTCCTGGCTCACATTCTCTCACATCAGGACCACCATGAGCTGACATCCAACCAGACACCCACCCTCTGACCTCCCCATGTCTACACACCTGACAGCAGTGGTACTGAAGGAAGCAGAGGAGCGGGTAGAGATATATGGATAATGCTTGGTATCCAGTTTGTCCTCAATAGTGTCCTAGAGAGAAGAAAGTCTGATCAGGTTACCATTGTTATCAAATGGTGATGGGAACAAAAGCAAGAAAAAAAGCAAGTCAGGTATCAAAACCTCAGCCAGGTCTACAACAATGCCTATGCCTGCTGCCACTACCGCGAGACCTACTCCAGGCCCAGCACTGGCTACGCGCTCTGCAACTGTCTCAGCCAGTAAGTCTACTCTCTGCGTAAACAATAAAAAGCATTTGTTTTCTTTGCTTTTCTTCAAATTTATTCTTTTTAATAATCTGCTTGAGGTTGAGCATCTGCATTCTGTTCACTAAATTCCTGATATTTGCTGTCAGCCTGGTGCAAATGGCCCAGAGGCAAGGCCTTTCCAGTTTGTCAAGGGGCTAATTATCTGGTGGGTGGGTTCCAGCCATGTAATTCCTACTGCCTGGAGACCCACCCTCTGTCTAACAGTCCCCTCTTTCGGGGCTAGAAAGGAGAGGGAGGAAAAGGGGGCAGGGAACAAGTAGGTGATGCACAAAGGGTGGCTTTATCTGCACCACCAAGCAAAGGCATATAATTGGTGTCTGAATGGTTCATGTCCACCCATCCTTTTGGTTCTGTGGATTTTAAAAATAGAAAGCTGACTCACTGTATGTAGTTAACACACACTTACTTTAATGCACAGTTCAGTTAGGAACACCTGGGCTGCTAAGAGCTAACTCAAGGAGCCTAGGCAAGTCCCTTCAGGTTCTGGACCCCAGTTTTGGGCCCCCATCAAGTACAGAAGATGAGAAGGCTGTCTTTGAGTCCTGCTCCAAAGATTCAGTGCTGTAGGACCTAAGTAGGGTTGCTACAGGGAGGGAAGGCAGTGATACCACAGGGCTGTAATGACACCCATACCCTCACTTCCCTTCTAGACAGACATGGAGTATCTGCTGTGCATGAGCTGTGTCAAGGGCATGGCAAAGGTGACAGGCTCAATGTGAAAGATGACTTATAAGTCCCAGTAGATTCAAGAGACCTCTGTGGCACTGGGCACTCAGACAGGGGCGAGGTAGGGGGGGCAGGCAAAGGATGGATGGCCCAGTAAAGACTTTGAAGGAAATTAGGATTCAAAATTTAGAAAGGAAAGGAGAGTACGTTCCAGGAAAAGGATCAGTTTGAACCACATAATTGCACAGGTCTTGCTGCTGGTATAACAAAGGTTGAGGGGAGGGAAGGAGAGTGAGAAGAGGAAGGGCAAGGCAGGCTGCAGCCATCTTCTGAGTCCCACCTGCTGAGGTGTGGTGTGTAGCTTGCGCCTATCTCCCCCAGGGATATGCTTATGTTCCTCATCTGACCTTTGAGATGCTTCAGGTCTGGCTCCTTTGGTTACCTTGCTGAGGGGCCTCTAGAGCACAGTATTATATCTTGACACTGGAACGGACAAATGGCTCTGGGGGACCTACAGCTGGCAGTGTGGTGGTTCAAGAATTCTCAGAACAGGTGTGGGTTGCTTATGGTCACAGGATGTTACTAAAACCACAGGGCGTCACTGCTAGAGGTACTAGGGCATCTAGTGAAGAGCACTGGGCCCTGACTCTCCCTCCCCGTTCCTCTGTCACTGACCTCCATGATGTCCTTAATAATTGGGGTCCATCGTGAGAGCTGGTAGGTCTGCTCACTGATGCGCTCCTTCCGTTCTGGCTTGCTCCTGCGGCGCAGAGTGGACTAAATGAAAGCACACACAAGGTCAGACTACTGACTCAGGGGCCACCTAGGCTTCCATGACGTCTGTTGGTCTCTGGAAACTAAGTGAAGACTCCTTCAGTCTGCATTAGTAAACAACAGTAAGAGGTGGGGAGAGTTTCCCTGTAATAGTCCAATTGTGTCCCTTTTATTTAAGACACCTGGAGCAAATGTCATTTTTTTTCTGATTTAAAGTTGGAAAATCTGTTCCATTTTACAGATTTTTTTTTTTTTTTTTTTTTTTTGGGTCCGGTCGTGGGGCCTGAACTCTGGGCCTGGGCGCTGTCCCTCAGCTCTTCAGCTCAAGGCTAGCGCTCTACCACTTGAGCCACAGCGCCACTTCCGGCTTTTTTTCTTTTTGCTTATGTCGTGCTGAGGAATCGAACCCAGGGCCTCATGCACGCAAGGCAAGCGCTCTACCACTGAGCCACCTTCCCAGCTACAGATTTATTTTTTACATCTGAAGACTCCTAACAAGATTTTTACATCTGAAGACCTCAAACAATATTCCCATTATTGAATATTCTTTTTTTTTTGATCATGTGGTTTAAACTTAGAGTCTGAGCACTGTCCCTGAGCTTTTTCGCTCCAGGCTAGTGCTCTATAACTTTGAGCTACAGCACCACTTCTAGTTTTCTGGTGGTTAATTGGAGATAACAGTCTCATAGGCTTTCCTGCCTGGGATGGTATTCAACTGTGATCCTCAAATCTTAGCCTCCTGAGTAGCTAGGATTATATGTGTGAGACACTTATACTCTTTTCTTTCTTTCTTTCTCTCTCTCTCTCTCTCTCTTTCCTTTGCCAGTCGTGGTGCCTGAACTCTGGTCCTGGGTATTGTCCCTGAGCTCTTCTGCTCAAGGCTAGCGCTCTACCACTTGAGTCACAGTGCCACTTCCAGCTTTTTCTGCTTATGTGGTGCTGAGGAATCGAACCCAGGGCTTAGGCAAGCACTCTACCACTGAGCCACCTTCCCAGCCCCCTATTACTGAATATTCTATACACTCCTTTTTTTAGCCAGTTCTGGGGCTTGAACTTTGGGCCTGAAAACTTTCTGAGCTTCTTTTCCTCAAGGCTAGCACTCTACCACTTGAGCCACAGTGCCATTTCAGTTTTTTTGTAATTTATTGGCGAAAAGAGTCTCAGGGGGAGGGGGGGAGGGAAAGAGGGAGAAAAACGAGGGAAAGGGTAACAAGTTAGACAAGAAATGTAATCACTACCTTAGTTATGTAACTGCAATCCCTCTGTACATCACCTTAACAATAAAATTAAAAAAAAATTAAAAGTCTCACAGACTTTCCTGCCCCAGCTGGCTTTGAACCGTGATTCTCAAATATCAGCTTCCTGAGTAGCTACAATTACAGATGTGAGCAAGCAGTGTCAAGCTCTATATACTCCTTTAGAAATTTTTTTAGTAGGGATGGGAGAGAAAAACTGGGAGAGAGAGCGGGAAGGAGTGACACTGTCCAAAACGAAGTGTACTCATTACCTGACTAATGAAACAGTAATTCTTCTGTACAACACCTTAATAATAATAGAATTTAAAGAAATTGTTCCTTCTTTCACTTAGCAAATGCAATTTTTAAAGTCAAGAAAAGTAGCAAATGTGATGCACATATATAAGTGCCATCTTAAAAAATCTAGGTAGCTGGGGCTGGGAAGGTGGTTCAGTGGTAGAGCGCTTTCCTTGCATGCATGAGGCCCTGGGTTCAATTCCCTAGCACCACATAAGCAGGGGAAAAAAAAGCCAGAAGTGGCGCTGTGGCTCAAGTGATAGAGCGCTAGCCTTGAGCTGAAGAGCTGAGAGACAGTGCCCAGGCCCAGAGTTCAGGCCCATGACCAGACCGCTCCCCCCCTAAAAAAAAAATCTAGGTAGCTGTACTGGGGCTAGTAGTTCAAGTGGTAGAGCAAGTATGAGGCACTAAATTCAATTCCAAGTAACGAAAGTAAAACAAAATAAAGGCAGGTAGTTAAAAAAGAATTTGCTGTCTATCATAGGAGAAAATATGACTTAGTTTTAAATGTTTTATTTCAACAGCATAATACTGAATGGATCATCTTCATTATTTTGATCCTTTGTGAGCAAAGGTCTAAAATCATCGGATTCCTGCCAGCTACTTGTGCTTGGTTGGTGGCAATGGAACAAAGTCTCTCTTTTAACACCAGCCATCTGAACTCAAGCTTTGTTAGTACTGGCTCTATGGAGTGACTGCCTGTAGATCAAGAGCATACACTGAGGCTCTTATAAGTGGGATTCAAGACAGCATATTCTAACAGGATCCTCAAGAATGTCTGTCTAGTTTCCCTCAGAGTACACTACATGACTCTAAGCCTTCTAGATATCTTGAGTTGGTTCTCAAATCAACTCAAGAGCTCAAAACATAGAGGTGACAAACAGCTTGTGGCATCTGTGGCAGACACTGAGTCTGAGGTGTTCAAAGGTAGAGCCATAATGGCCTTGAGACACAAAAGGAATCAGAGTGACTTGTTTTTGTTTGGTTCCATTGTACTTAATGTTACTCAGCATGTGCAATTAATGCTAGTCTTTGACATTTGTATCTTTTTCTCCTTCATCTCTTTTGATGTTGAGCATGGTACACAGTTGTATCATAAGATGCTGTCAATCAGTGAGCATTGAATACATACAACATGTCAGCTGCCTGCCCCTTCTTCCCACTGAAAGCTGGCACTTACGTCTGTGACGATGGGCACACCCAGGTGAGCCATGTTGGTGATGATCTCACTATCCTCTGGAGGGATCTGGGCATGCTGGATCAGTTTGTTCAGGTTCTCCTCAGTGATGCCTGAGAGACAGGAGAGCTGGTCATCACATCAAACCTTCTCATCTCCACTCTTAGAAGCAGAGCTGACCACTTTCCTTTCCCTCCTCAGGACTGGCAGACATCAACCTATCTACCCCATCAGCTTGACTCTCTGATGAGAGCAAAAACATTACTGCAGTCCCACTTGAATTGCTCTGTCCAGAGTGATGGCCATTGGCAATTGCCTCACAGTCTCTGTTTACATCATCCTGGCTTCTCAGCAGTCTCTACCCACCCCACCCCACACCAAAGTCAAACTGGACAAGAGTCTTATTAAGTACCTTTTGCACCTTTAGAGGCATCTTTACATCTAAGAGGCTGAGCTCTAATAAACTGGCCATAAAGGCAGTCAGCCCTCCTTTCTCCCAGCTCTGGCCTCCTCTATGTCACCCATGCTCCTTATTAACTCAGAATTCCATGTCATTCATGCTCCTTATAGAATTCCTAGGGAATGCTCAACCTCTGGTTGCAACTGACTTGAATACATTGCACGTCCCCAAATATAAGGAGCCTCTGGAATCTTCCTTCTTCCCCTTTCCACGTCTTTTAATCCAGTTTTCTCTCATGGCTTATACCCTCCTCCTCTATTGTCCTCCCTTCTTACCATTCTTCAGAAAGATATAGAGAAGGATGATGCGGATTTTGTCATACGTGCTGACATTTGCATCCAGCAGGATGGGGACGATGGCTCTCATGGGGTCTTTGATCTTCTCCCCCTCGGCGTCTGTGCCCATTGCCAGATCCTGTAGAAAACACACCCAGCTGTCCCTAATTCTGTAACAATTTGAACAGATGGTATCTCTTAGAAATTCACAACCTATAAATGCCTGGCTTTGTGGCATGGTTGGGGTAGGCTGTGAACAAGTCTTCTTGCACGTGCTGTAGTTAGCATTAGTGTCCCCAGCACTGCTTTGCATGAAAGCCCCTGAGTTCCTTTTCTAAAACCAGCAACTGTGGTGTTCCCTGCAGGCAAATGTCAGGGTTCCTGCGTCTATGAGGTGCCAGGCCCTGCAGAAGGGTCAGGCTGAAGGGCATGTGAAGGCTTTGATGTCATGAAGTGTCGCTGCGAGGCTGGATTCTTTCCACTCTGCTTCTCCTGGCATTGGAAGGACACACTTTTTGAGTAGGATTTTTAACCTCTGTTTCAATCAGAATTTTTCAAAGGAATGGGGGGGTGTTGTAATCCCAAACCTGCAGATCTAAACCTAGGGGATGGAGAGAAGAAAAAGGATAACAAAAGAACCAGAGATAAAAAGACTTAAGTGAGCATAACTCATAGCCCACAGGACTGTCAGGTAACACTCAGACCCAGGGAGTGGTGCATTGTTCTCAGTGAACCAAGAGTTATCTGCTCCACTACTGAGTGACCCACAGTTGCAGCTGGGTTTCTTGCAGGCTCCCCTTTTCCTCTCAAAATTCTGTGAGTTCATACAAATGATTATTTTGTATCCAGGGTCTCTTTTCAGGCAGGGGCTAAGGAAGGCTAGACCCCTTTCCTATGTCTTCTCACCAGCCTCATTAGGTGTTTGCTTCGCATGACCGACTTTAGGACTTTCTCTAAGCCTAGTGAAATGTAACTAGTTCCTCAATACTTTTGGGTGTTTGCTTCGCATGACCGACTTTAGGACTTTCTCTAAGCCTAGTGAAATATAACTAGTTCCCCAATACTTTTGAGCACTTAGGAAAAAATTTAAGCTTCCAAAGATGAATCAGAAACTACATTTTTACTGGTAACCTGCCTGCTAGTCAAACTCTTGGAAAGAGTACATGTGTTTTCTGAGATTCCCCCAAGAAATGGACTTTTAAGAGGGCAGCACCACAGGACATGGCTTGCAAACCTAAGCTGGGCCTGTTACAACAGGCCAGATAATTCATATCTTGCTTTCACCCTGAGAACCTGAGCTGGCATTTTTCTATTAAAATAAAAGACCTTCTGCTGAGGCTTCAGAATCTTTATAAATGTTTTTTCTCTTCAATGACATATAGGGCCTGGCGGTATATTGCATGAGGCCCTGAGTTCAATCCCCAGTATCTCTCTCTCTCTCTCTCTCTCTCTCTCTGTCTCTGTCTCTGTCTCTGTCTCTCTCTCTCTCTCTCTCACACACACACACACACACACACACACACACACAGGGTTAACACACAATATAGAGACACTGTCACAGAGACTGGAGGGCCAAGTGAGATTCCACACAATACACTCGAAAAACATGTCAGTTCTGTGGTTTTACTTTTGCAAATGTGGAAAACGAAGCAGAAAGAAACCAGCACATACACCAGAGAGAGAAACAGAACTCCAATCTCTGCTTCTCAGTGCCAAGCCTAATTCTGATCAGTAAGGTTTTGGGACAACTCCTGGTCTGCAGCTGCACTGCCCTCCCTAAGGCTCAGGATTTCCACACTTTGTCAGGCCGTAGCAGGAGATAAACACATTCACAACAAAATCCAGCCAGCTCTGTACATGTAAGTAAGGCTCAGGACATTCCAAGTAAAAACAGAGCCTCTGAAAAGAGCCAGCATGCAAAATCCAAATGGCACAGCACTCCAGACCGACCTTGTCCCTACCATTCAGAGTGGAACCACATAGCGGAGACAAGACGTGAGATCAGAGGCTCTCCCATATCTATTTCCTATGATTCTGCAGGAGGATGTTCAAGGTCAGATATTAAAATTCAGCTGAGTAAGTGAACACTACAGAGCACCTGCCATGCAGAAAAGGAAGGAAAAAAATCCTACCTGTTCCACCCGGCAGAGTTTATCCACAGTGCCTTGGTAATGCTTCATACAGTCTTCAGCAAGGTGCAGGTGAGTTGAATACTAGGAAATGCATTGCAGAATCGGTGACCAAGAAATTAGTGATGTATGCAACATCTACTGAGTACCTCCTATGTCACAAACACTGCGCTGGCTGCTAATAATTATTTAGCCTCACAAAGGAGATAAAGTATGTACAATTAGTATTCCAACATCATAGGCAGTAAATGTTACATCCAAGGAGAGGAAGGATAGATTCTCAAGAGATGAAAGGGAAAATTCTTCAGAAAGGGTAGGCATGATGGTTTTATAACACATCCACTGACTCTCTAATACATGGCGCTTCAGGAGGGGAGCTTAATTCCCATGTCCTTGAGTATGGGCTGGATCCAGTGCCTTGCTTCAAACAAACACTGGACAGGAAGTAATGATGTATGACTTTCAAGATCAGGATACAGAAGGTCTTACATCCTCCTGGCCAGCTCTCAACCCATCTGGGGGATGCTAATGGTGATGTTAGGCAAGTACAGGCCTATGTGCTGAACAACTGAGTCCTCCCACCTACAGCAGGGGAGGAGGAAGAATAAAGGATGCGAAAGAGCAGGGATGTGGTGGTTTATGCCTATAATCCTAGCTACTCAGGAGGCAGAGATCTGAGGACTGTGGTTTGATGCCAGCCCAGGCAGAAAAGTCTCTGTGAGACTCTTTTTTTTGGTTGGTCATGGGGCCTGAACTCTGGGCCTGGGCACTGTACCTCAGCTCTTCAGCTCAAGGCTAGCGCTCTACCATGTAAGCCACAGTGCCACTTCTGGCCTTTTCTGCTTATGTGGTGCTGAGGAATCGAACCCAGGGCCTCATGCATGCAAGGCAAGCAATCTACCACTGAACCACCTTCCGAGCCCTGAGACTCTTATCTCTAATTAACTACTCAAAAAATAGAAGTGGTACTGTGGCTCAAGAGGTTTTATCTATGTTGCTATTGTTTCTAATGTACTTAAAAAAATACTATGTGGGGTTTTTTTTGTTTCTTTCGTATGTTCTTCCCCATTGGTATAACCCCTGTTCTCACCGTATTTGATTCCGGTAGAATGCTAACTTTGAGCAAAAGAGTTCTGACTGACCCAAAAAAAAAAAAAAAAAAAGATGAGAAAGAGGGTGCTCTTTTAAACTTAGGGCCTGGGTGCTGTCCCTGAGTTTTTGTGCTCAAGCCTAGCACTCTACCACTTTAGCCACAGCTACATATTTGGGCAGCTTAATGAAGAGTCCCACAGACTCTTTCCTGGGCTGACTTCAAATTGAAGTTCTCAGATCTCAGCCTCCTGAGAAGCTAGTATTACAAGCATGAACCACTGGTGCTCAGCAGAGAAAAGAAAGGGAGGGTATAAGAGGAATCTCAGCCTTCTTTCCTCTCCCTTCCTTCTTCCATCCCTCTTTCTCTCTCCCTCCTTCCTCTCTATCTCTCACTCTATTTGAAAAGAAAACATAGCTGTAGATTTCAAAGAAGCAGACTAGTAGGGCTGTTTTTTTGCAGCTGTTTATATCTATGACTAACATAGATTACTTAGGGCCACCACACCTTGCTGAGCTCCTTCTGGTACTGAGGCATCTTCTTCAGCATCTGGGACAGGTCCCGCATGGTGGTCTATGAGGGAAAGGAAAGCACATGGTGTTATTCCAATGGCCTTGACTCAGTGTGGCTTTGTGAGGCTGGTGGGCACAGGACAGAAGGGCAGCCACATTAGACTTCATAAGTGCAAAACAAATCTGTTAAGCATAAGATTGTATTTTAGATTTCTAGGCATCTGGCACAAAAATTATTGATCCAAATGTCCTGGTTGTCTGCCAGATGGGGAATTAAACCCTGAAGTCTGGTAACTTTTATTCCATAAGTTTTTGGGGGCTTTTTTTGGGGGGGCCAGGGGTATCAGTCATTAAACTTGAAATTTAGGGCCTGGGTGCTATCCCTGAGTTTTTCTGCTCAAGGCTAGAGCTCTCCCACTTAAGTCACAGCTCTACTTCCAGCTTTCTTGGTAGTTAATTGGAGATAAGAATTTCATAGGCTTTCCTGCCGGGGCTGGCTTTGAACTACAATCCTCAGATCCCAGCTTCAGGAATAGCTAGGATTACAGGTATGAGTCACTGATGCCTGGCCAAGTTTTATTCCATGTTTATTGGATTAGAAACTTGTAAGAGCATGATTCTTGCCAAGAAAAAAGATGTTGCTCCACCCAAGTAGTCTTGGCAATGTCTACACTTCATCCAGCAGGAAGGCAGCTATGGGTAGTCAGGTAGAAAGGAGATTGGAGAGGGCTGGATCTTGACCAGCACAATGGTTCTGTTTACTCTCTAACTGTGTGACTCACCTAATTGAACCCATTTATCCAGGAAAATTTTACTAGACTATTACTACATACTAGGTACTATCAGGTGCTGCAGATGCTTTATGAGCTGAACAGATACACGAAAGGCAATAACCTTTTTTTAAAAAAAAAAACTAGTTTTGGTTCTGGGGGATCAAATATAATGCATACAAGCACTCTATCACTGAGATATATCCCCCTAGATATGAATCTAAGCAAGAAATCAAGACCAAGTGACATTAAGTATAAAGAAAAATATCACTCTGCTAATTCCCTAGTCCTTGCCAGAGAGAGATTATGGGCTGGTTTTCAGGGTGTGCATTTACCTTCTCTCCAGTGTTCATTCTCTTGCTAGAAGAAAAATCCTTCAGAGACCTTGTGACTTCTCTGGAAAATGGAAGGAGGCAGTTAAGTCCACAGTGGCGCCACAGGCTCTCTACAGGCCTTAGAAGTCAGGTACTAGCTTCCCTTGAGAATTTCTGTCAACTTTCTGACTGCTGAGGTATGCATTTAAAGTGATTTTCAAAGTGAAGAGACACCTTTTAAAAAAAATTAGTATGCTAAACCGTTGGCCTACAGAGTAGGGTATATTAGACAATTCAAGGGGCAAAGAGCAAAAGTATCAGAAAATCTTGTTTATTTTCAGTCATCTTTTTCAAATACATGTCTAAACATTCAAATGCAATAACTATATTTACTTTGTCTTCTCTTTCTCGCTCTCTCTCTCTCTCTCTCTTTTTAATCATGGTGCTTGCACTCAGTCCTGGCATTGTCCTTTAGCTTTTGGGAAGGCTGGTGCTATATTACTTGAACCATAGCTCTACCTCCAGGTTTTGGTTTTTGTCAGTCATGGGCTTGAACTCAGGGCCTGGGCACTGTCCATGAGCTCTTTCATTCAACGTTAGTGCTCTACCTTTGAACCAGAGCTCCACTTCCAGTTTTCTGGTGGTTAATTGGAGATAAGAGTCTCAGAGATTCCTGCCCAGGCTGACTTTGAACCGTGATCCTCAGATCTCAGCCACCTTCAGTTTTTGCTGGTTAATTGGAGGTAAGAATCTCACAAACTTTGCTGTCCAGGCTGGCTCTCAATTATGATTCTTAGATCTCAGCCTCCTGAATACTAGGATTATTGAGCAGAATGTATCTTTCTGAAAAAACAGAACTGTTAACCTCCACTTAAGGCTTACTAACAATGCTTAAATACTAGAAACATTCTGAACACTTTCAGATAGCAGTAAACTCAGTACACAAGGTCAGCTCTTGCTCAGAAACTTCAGCAAAGCTGGCAGGAAGCCGGCATACCAGCTCTGCAAAAGAAAAAGTCCAACTGCATGCAATCGTGTCTGAATCTTTCTTTTAGTGGAAGCAACAGGCTTTAAATACTTAATGTTTATAAAGCACTTTTCTAAGACAGCTACCAATATTTTCCAAGAATCTGAAAAGCTATCCTAATATACAACAGATTTACTAACTTTGTGGACTGGATTAGCTCAAGTTCAAAGTACGGAAAGGACCCATCATCCTTGGTTAGCATGTTAATGCTTTACAAATTCACAAATGCCAACAAATTCACTCCCAATTGCAGTGTGTATATCACCCACAGTTAAGAGAAGCATCCACCCTGTATAAATGTGGAGGAAATGCTCTTACTGGGACACTTCTGCAATGTGCTTGTGGCGCAGTGCGATCCACAGGTCGTCATCCTCATCCAAGAGCACCTCCTTCACCCGTGCTTCTCCAATGCCGCTGGTCTCGTACCTATAGGAAGTGGAACTTGGGTAGAGCTTTGTGCTCACAGCATTCCCCAGACCCTCTCTGGTTTGTAATGACAGCAGCTCAGTCCTCAGCTGCCAGGTGATCAAAGGAATAGCTTATAACAAGAATGATTATCTTATGTGCCAGTCAAGCCAGCATGGCAGCATGGCTGCAATTCTCTGGGCAGAGAGAGACTCAGTACTCTATTAAAAGCCAACAACTTGGAGTTTTGCTTTAATTTTTGCAGTTGGCTCATATGAACATTCCCCAAGTCACCTGGTGCAGGGCAGGAAATTGGGTTATATGTGGGTTTAGTTACTTCGAGGAGTGAGGCAAAGCTTTTATTTTTCCTTTCTGGGCAAGAGCATAGATACCATTCCCAAACGAGTGGCTTCTAAATGGCTTTCAGCAGCTAGCTGTGACAGGATCTTGGTATTTGGCTACATGTGAAATCATGAATGGCTGAAAGAAGTAAGAATCACTGGAGCCAGGAGAAGAGTTGAGAGTAGTATTTTCTGAACCTTCATTTTGAAATGACTATCTTTCTTTTTTTGGGGGGGTCTGGTCGTGGGGCCTGAACTCTGGGCCGGGGCGCTGTCCCTCAGCTCTTCAGCTCAAGGCTAGTGCTCTACCACTTGAGCTACAGTGCCACTTCCAGCTTTTTTCTTTTTGCTTATGTGGTACTGAGAAATCGAACCCAGGGCCTCATGCATGCAAGGCAAGCACTCTACCACTGAGCCACCTTCCCAGCCCCTGAAATGACCATCTTTCTGAACAAGATGACAAAGTAAATGACAAAAGAACAATGCAGTCTGACTTCCTAAAAAGAAAAAACAGGGTGACATTGTCCCTTTACCTGATGTAACTGTAACCCCTCCTTACATCACCTTTATAGTAACAATTAAAGATTTACAAAATAAAGAAGTGTGTTTAGAATCTGAATTTCTGATCATAGACACCAAGAAAAATACTTTTTATAATGAAGAAAACAATTCCACTGCACAGAAAGTTCAGTAAGAAACTTTTGTTGATATAGTTTGTTTTCATGTTATAACCTATAATTAAGGAATTTTACTTCTGAATAAGATACACCTTCATACATTCACACCCACATACAAACTATGGACATATTCAAACAGACTATGAATTTAGGTGATAGGAACGTGAGAGCTAAAGATCTTCCTCAGAAAGGGCAACAAGTTCCTACTTAGAAATACCATGTGACAGAATGGCGCTGTGGCTCAAGCGGTAGAGCACTAGCCTTGAGCTGAAGAGCACAGGGACAGCACCCAAGCCCAGAGTTCAAGCCCTACGACCGACCAAAAAAAACCCCAAAACAATAGTTAGGTTTATAAGAAATACCATGTGCCTTTGGGAAACAGAAAAGCTTACAGGCTTGTCTAAGAGATTGTATCAGTACACCTGTTTTTCTTTGTCTTAAAAGAGAAGTATTCTTGGTTGATTTACAAAGCTATGGTCACCCTAAAGTCTGTAACATACTTACTTGTAAACATCATTTTCAATGGGCAGAAGATCATAACTCATAGCCTGAAAGGTCAATTCATGAAGCACAGGGGAGCTGGGGTCAAAGCCACGATCCAGAATGAGGAGCTGGGAGCGTGCCTTGTCTGGACCCTGGAAAGAAACAGGGGAATGCTTGAAAGCCCACCTGGACAACTCTAGTTTCTCCAACTAGTGAAGTCCCTTGGTAAAAGGAACAGCAAGAAGGAACCTCTGAGGAGTCAACCAACTAAAACAACATGGGTAGTCTGTCAACTGTGTGACAAGAACACCAATAAGTCCCATGCTTCTATTTCCTAGTGAGGGCCCTTTGAACCAGATCCGAACTGTGAGTAGGGGCTGAAGTGAACTTATCTATACAGAGGAGCACCAGGTTCTGCTACAATCACAATGACCAACATCTGGTATGCCAGGACTTTTAACTTCAAAGCCAAGGCAGTGACAGAACAGCTCTGTATCTTTTTAAGGGGGAAAAGTGCCAGGAACTGGAACTCACTCTAACACTGAGCTATGCCTCCGGCCCCCAGCTCTGTATGTTGATGGTAATGGTGATTACACCAATGTATACATGTGTTAAAACTGTAGAGAATTGTGTATACACAAAGTAGACACAAAAACTAGTGAAATCTGAGTGAGGTCTGGAGATTGCACCATTGTCAATTTTCTGTCTGATACTGTACTACCATGGCATTTCCTGGATGAGGAGAGTTCTATGCTAAAACTAGGAAAGTCCTAGCGAACAGAAACAAGTTGGTCACCTTGGCTACAATAAATGTTATCTGGATCACCCTACCACCCCATGAGCTTTGAGCATTTCTCAAGTGGGCAATATTCAGGAAAAGCTATCCTCACATACATCTGGAGCAATAGACCTCTACAGGTCTATTGGACTGCCGCATAAATACTGGGGTCATGGCCCAAGACCAGACTTACCTCCCCCATTGTTGGGTCATCAGCTTTATAGGCGTCGAGCTTGTCCTGGATTAGCTGAGCCAACAAGGCATTGTCCTTGTATTCCCTGATAAAGGTAACTGAGGGTAAACGACTGGTATACACCAACCACACACAGTGCACCAAGTCCCCCCAGTAAGAATGCAGGACAGGGCAGGGAGATCAGGAGATACAGGGGTATCATCTGTATTAGGAACAAACCCAGAGGCCTGTACATCCTAGACAAGCACTATTCCATATCCCCCAGCCATTGATTAATTATGTTTTTTACAATAAGGATATATCTACAATCTTGGCATGGTAATACACCTATAATTCTTGCACTAAGGAGGCACAGTGAGCTATACAGCAAGTCTGTCTCAAAAATAAATTAATTAAATTAAATATATATATATAGAAGCAGTAAAAGTCTTTCTAAGTAACTCCAGATAAACAATCACACTTCACAGAGGGCCCTGACCCTTCCTCCTTTTCTCTTGATCAGGACACCTGAGCTGGACCCATATGATCCTCACTCTCTCCTCCATTCAAGTTCCCTTGGGTCTTGTAGAAGGTAGATGTAGCTCACCCCTTTGCTAACCTCAGCACCACAGCAGTTCAGTCCTCAGCTATATTCCTGCTCCTTAGTTAAAAATGAAGAAAGAGAGGCTGGGAAGGTGGCTCAGTGGTAGAGTGCTTGCCTTGCATGCATGAGGCCCTGGGTTTGATTCCTCATAAGCAGAAAAGGCCAGAAGTGGTGCTGTGGCTCAAGTGGTAGAGTTCTAGCCTTGAGCTGAAGAGCTGAGGGACAGCACCCAGGCCCAGAGTTCAGGCCCCACGACTGACCAAAAAAAAAAAAAGAAGAAAAGAAAAAAGCTGGATGCTGGTGGCTCACATCTCTAATCCTAGCTACTAAGGAGGCTGAGATCTGAGGATCACAGTTCAAAGCCAACCCAGGAAGGAAAGTCCGTGAGATTATTATTTTTTTTTTGGGGGGGGGGTCCAGTCGTGGGGCCTGAACTCTGGGCCGGGGCGCTGTCCCTCAGCTCTTCAGCTCAAGGCTAGCGCTCTACCACTTCAGCTACAGCACCACTTCTGGCTTTTTTTCTTTTTGCTTATGTAGTGCTAAGGAATCAAACCCAGGGCCTCATGCATGCAAGGTAAGCTCTCTACCACTGAGCCACCTTCCCAGCCCATCCATCCGTGAGATTCTTATCTCCAATTAACCACCAGAAAACTGGAAGTGGTGCTGTGGCTCAAGTGGTAGAATGCTAGCCTTGAGCTGAAGAGCTCAGGAACAGTGCCTAGGCCCAGAGTTTAAACCCTACAACCTACAAAAAAAAAACAAAAACCCACAGCTTCTGTTCTTATCTTCTAGCAGGCTTTTGATGGTGAGTGCCAACAATGAGGGAAGTCAATGCTAACAGCATTGAGCTCTTTTCGTATGGCCCCGATGCCAGTTTGATGCAGCTTCCCCCGAGACAATACTCACTATTAGCCCAGTCAGACCCTAAACTTGTAATATTCCTGCCTCAGCCTCTTGAGTGCTGGGAATACAAGTGTATGCTACAATGCCCTGTAAATCTTGACCCTCTGGAGACGATTTCCAGAGGAAACAAAGCCAGAGAACAACTTGGAGACAGTTCCAGACTAAGGGACAGAGAGATGCCTTTCACTGCAGGCTAATGTGCTGCCTTACCCCCGATACCGCACAGCTGGGTACTCCTTCAGGGTGGCACACAGGGTTGCGATCTGCTCTGCCAGACGCTCCAGAATAGGATTCTTCATCTGAGCTTTGTGAGGACTGTAGAAACTCTGGAAAGAGTCAGCAGAGTCCAGGGAATATACCTGAGAAGGAGGAAAAATACACATGGTTTGTGAGGGTGGTGAGCTGCTGGAGTTCCTCTACCCTAGCAGTCCATCTATGGGACATGATTGCATTTATTCCAGGGCTAGGCACTGCACTAAACATTTTGGAACTAGCAGTGACCCAAGCACACCTATTCTCAAGAAATCTCAAATGTAGTAAAAGGAGGTTGAGAGCCGGGCACCAGTGGCTCACCTGTAATCCTAGCTACTCAGGAGGCTGAGATCTGAGGATCGAGGTTCAAAGTCAACCCAGGCAGGAAAGTCTGTGAGACTCTTATCTCCAATAAACCACTAGAAAACTGGGAGTAGTGCTGTGGCTCAAGTGGCAGAGCGCTTGCCTTAAGCTGAAGAGCACAGGGACAGAGCCCAAGCCCAGAGTTCAAGCCCCACAACTGACCAAAAAAAAAAAAAAAAAAAAAAAAGGAGGTTGCCATTAAACAGAATGAGAAGTAAAATGTGGTTTTGAGAACTTGATAAATGCATGGGAAAGTAAAAAAGCAGAGAAACAATGTCTAAAAGGGCTGGACAAGGAAGACACTTGGACATCTGAACAGGGCTTGAAGGAGATGAGGTGTTCCATCTCCAGCAGGGGACCTCCACATGGTGAGATGAGTGGTGCCAAAGCCCTTGGCAGGTGTGTGTGCCTAGGGGTCAGTGAGCGAGGGAAGGGGAGATTAGTGTAGGAGATCACTGGCTAGAATGAGGTTGTTTTTTTTTCTTTGTGTGTTTGTGTGCTTGTGTGCATGTACCAATACCCAATACTGGGGTTTGACCTCAGAGCCTGGGATCTATACTTTAGCATTCGTTTTCAAGGTTAGCACTCTATCGTTTGAGCCACACTCCACTTCAGGATTTTTGGTGACTAATTGGAGATAAGAATCTCATGGACTTTCTTCCCATCTGTCTTCAAATCACAGGTTTTCAGTTCTCAAACTCCTTAGTAGCTAGGATTGGCTTTTAACAAAGGACAAGTTGGAAATTGTATTATTACTAGGTTTTTGTTTTTGTTTTTTGTCAGTCGTGGGCCTGAACTCTGGGCCTGGGCGCTGTCCCTCAGCATTTCAGCTCAAAGCTAGTGCTCTACCACTTGAGCTACAGCGCCACTTCCGGCTTTTCCTGCTTTATGTGGTGCTGAGGAATCGAACCCAGGGCCTCATGCATGCAAAGCAAGCACTCTACCACTGAGCCACCTTCCCAGTCTGTATTATTACTAGGTAAACAAGAGCTTTTTATAGGTTTAATATCTTATCCTCAACAAAGCATTTTTCATCTTCTCATTTCTTCTCCTCCTCCTCCTTCTTCTTCGTTGGTGGTGGTGGTGGTTGTAGGGCTTGAACTCAGGGCCCAGGTGCTGTCCTGGCTTATATTTTATTTTTTTGTTGGTTGTGGGGCTTGAACTCTGGGCCTGGACACTGTCCCTCAGCTCTTCAGCTCAAGGCTAGTGCTCTACCACCTAAGCCACAGTGCCACTTCTGGTTTTCTGGGCTGGCTTTGAACCGCAATCCTCAGATCTCAGCCTCCTGAGTAGCTAGGCTTACAGGCATGAGCCACAGGTACCTGGCTTATCCTTTAGCTGTATCTGCTCAAGGCTGACACTCTACCATTTGAGCAACAGTTTTACTTCCAGCTTTGGACTAAAGATAGTCTCATGGACTTGTCTGCATGGGCTGGCTTTGAACTACAATCTTCAGATCTCAGCCCATTGAGTAGCTGGGATTTACAGGCATGAAACACTGGCACCTGGCTTATTATTATTATTTTGTCAGTTGTGGGTTTGAACTCTGGGCCTAGGCACTGTCCCTGAGCTCTTCAGCTCAAGGCAAGTGCTCTACCACTTAAGCCACTTCCAGTTTTCTGGTCATTAATTGGAGGTAAGAGTCTCATGGACTTTCCTGCCTGGGCTGGCTTTGAACCGTGATCCTCAGATCTCGTCCTCCTAAGTAGCTAGGATTACAGGTGTAAACTACCAGCGCCAGGCTCATTACTCTTTGTGAAGAGTTCTGGAGGTATAAATCTTTTTCTTGAACTATTGAGAATACTTCCATTATTCTCTTAAGTATACTTCTGTATACTACCTTGATCTTTTCTTTAAGTGATTAAAAAGGTGGTCTATGGCCATATCACCCTGAATGTACCTGATGTCATCTAAAAAAAGGTTCATTACTTTCTGAAATATACGATTGGATAAGTTAACACTAGGTTTTGTTCAGTTCAGGTGATGATGGAACTGACATACCTCTCCCCCCAAAAAAAACAACAACAAAAAACATCGTGCCATTGGTCAGGCAGGAAATAGGCTTCAAGTCATGGGAGAAGGGAATGAGGCAGGCTTTCAGTGTTCACACTTTTATCTCTTCCACCTCTCTTCTAACAACAGACCACTCTCTGGTTCTATAAGCCAATCTATGAAGATCTAGTATACCACAATCATCTTTTTTTTTCTTGTCATAAAACATATAAAAGTCTTGTTGTTTCTAGTTCCTTGTTTGCTACAAAAATACATCCTAACAAGTCTTAAAAATATTAAGATAGGGTTCACAAAAAAAATAAATAAATAAAATTAAAAAAAAATAAAGATCTTTGCCACTGATTTCATAAAAAAAAAAAATTAAGATAGGGCTGGGAAGGTGGCTCAGTGGTAGAGCACTTGCCTTGCATGCTCGAGGCCCTGGGTTCGATTCCTCAGCACCACATAAGAAAAAAGCCGGAAGTGGCGCTGTGGCTCAAGTGGTAGAGTGCTAGCGTTGAGCTGAAGAGCTGAGGGTCAGCGCCTAGGCCCAGAGTTCAGGCCCCATGACTGGACCCAAAAAAAAAAAAAAAAAATTTAAGATAAATTTTGTATATTCTTTGCCAATCAGCTTCACCTTGACAGGTTTAGGAACTTTGTTTTTTTAAAAAGGGGAGAGCTTTGCTGCTGTGGCCTTTGGTGTGTAAAGTGTTAACAGCTAATGATGGAGGAGACCATCTGTTCTCATACCACGTGATGAGCTGGGGCTATTGCCAATAAAAACAATGTCCTTCGAGCAGATGGGATGCTCTGAGCCCTTCCCTTCCTTCCCTCTCCATATTCTTTTAGCACTGGCTACTTGGGTTATTCAAGGAGTCATCTGAAAGGAGTGAACTCTGAGCAAGGAGAAAATGAATGCAAGAAAAGGCACAAATAAAAAGTGATTTAAATATTTTTGGAAACATGAGGGGAGGGGAAAAAATCAGCAATAGTGGGTAAACAAGATGAGGGCAGTGGGCAGGTGGCAATAGAAAACCATTTGCATTAAATAAACGCCCACATATAACATGTCATTTGGCATCTTTATTACCCCCCAACACCCCACCCTCTCAGAGTCCTGATATGGTAACTAGGGTGTAGATCATAATTGTATGTACTCACTGCCTGCCCAGCCTCACCTGGGATTCATATGGGAGAAATGCTATGTTGATTTCCGTCAGTGTTTTGATGACTTTGGCAGCCCGAGATTTCACCAGCTCATTAAACAGGGCATCTGGACAAGCTGCAAGAATGACAAGACACTTGAGTTTCCTGTCTACCTGCTGGCTCACAATTATAGTGCATTCTTTATTTTTAAATGGCACCTAGAAGTTCATTTTATTGTAAAATATCCAATTCCTTTAGGGTATAAATGGAATGTAAAACCACCTGCAGGGCCCTTAACATACATCACAGCGACCTGAACAGCAAAAGACTGCGATACTCTTTCTTCCAAGCAATTGAAGGAAAAGCAACAAGTGATTAAGAGAGATAAGAAAATGAGTACCAAACATCCAACATGTTCACGAGGAAGAAAAAAAGAAAGAAAAAAGAAAATCAAATTCTCCATAGTGACTTGTTGGGCGATTTCCTTAAAAAAAGGAAAATCCACCGGGCGACTGTGGTTGGCTCTTGCCTGTAATCAGCTACTCACGAGGCTGAGATCTGAGGATCATGGTTCAAAACCAGCCTGGGCAGGAAAGTCCATGAGACTCTTATCTCCAATTAATGACCAGAAAACTGGAAGTGGTGCTGTGGCTCAAGTGGTAGAGTGCTCTCCTTGAGCTGAGGAGTTGAGCTCAGGGACAGGCCCAGAGTACCCAGCCCCACAACCAACAAAAAAAAAAAAAAAAAAAGAAAGAAAGAAAGAAAAGAAAAGAAGAAAGAAAAAAAAAGAAAAAGAAAGAAAAGAGAAAAAGAAAAACCTTGGAGAAGAAACTGGGTAAAACCTGATTTATATGCTTAGTCACTCATCTCTCATAGTTTTCCCACCAGAATTTATGTATAACCCACATAGTTAGTTAGAAAACTAACTCCAGGGCAATGGTTCAGATTCTGTAAAACACAAAGACTACTGGACTGGAAGCTTTATAGTTTCAGCCCTGATGAAAACATGCTATAAGTTACAGAGATATCTGGAAATCTGTACAATGAATTGCCCAGGCAAGCATCAAAAAAATTCTGCTTAGCAGGAAGCCCTTTGTCCTCAGAAGAGGTGCTCAGTGAGCAAATTTTCCACAGGAAGAACTGCACAATCTGGTAGGTCTGTATTTGTGTATGTTTGTCTTATATGCAATTTATCTTCTAAAGGGAAAATAAAAGACCGGGACAACCATGTCAACAACCCATTTCCTCCCTATTGACCTGACTTGGGTCTGCCTCACCCTGCCTAGTGGTGCACTTGCAGGTATACTTACAATCAGTGAAGAACACATGTGCAGCCCGATATTTAGCAGTTGGCGGGTCCTTAAAGTCACTGATGAGAGAGTGGACAGACTGTGGACAGAACAAAAGAAGGTACTAAGTCCATTCTAAAAGCATATGGGACCAATATCTGAACCAAGTTAAAGAAGCTGGTTTCAGATTCCTTACACAAAACAACAGGGAGTTTCTAATGTATAATTCTAATATTCATGTTCATCCATAACCAGGTTCTGAGTACTTAAAATTACAATTATTGTTAGCTGGGTGCTAGTAGCTCATGCCTTTAATCCTAGCTACTCGGGGGCTAAGATTGGAGTATTGTATGGTTCCAAGCCAGCCTAACAGGAAAGTCGTAAGATTTCTTCCCTCAGGGACTGGACCCAAAACCCTAAGTTCAAGCCTCAAGATTGGGGGGAAAATAAGATTGTTTTAGAGTTTGGCTCATTCCAGAATAAGTAGGTCCCCATAACTTGAGTATCTATGGAGATTCACATTGATGGAATGTCATTCTGTCAAGTTAGTTGACGCTACAGAAATTCACATGTAAACCAATTTTCAAAAGTGAAAAGAAGCCAGGCATCAGTGGTTCACACCTATAACCCTAGCTACTCAGAAGGCTGAGATCTGAGAATCCCGGTTCAAAGACAGCCTGGGCAGCAAAGTCCATGAGACTTCAATAAACCACCAGAAAACTGGAAGTGGTTCTGTGGCTCAAGTGGTAGAGCACTAGCCTTGATCTGAAGAGCTGAGGGGCAGAGCTCAGGCCAAGTTCAAGCCCATGATAAAAAAAAAAAATTGAAAAGAATGTGGAAAAAATCAGAGTGTGTGTGTGTGTGTCTGGGGGGGGGGGGGGGGGCCTGGGCACTGTTCCTGAGCTTCTTTTTGTTCCAAGGCTAGCACCCTACCTCAAGCTACAGCACTACTTCTAGCTTTTTCTGAGTAGTTTATTAGAGATAAGAGTCTCATGGACTTTTCTGTCCAGGCTGGCTTTAAACCTAGATCCTCAGATCTCAGCCTCCTGATTAGCTAGGATTACAGGCGGGAGTCACCAGCATCCGACTGAATTTTTTCTTTTTTTTTTTTTTTCTGGTCATGGGGCCTGACCTCTGGGTCTGGATGCTGTTCCTTAGCTCTTCAGATCAAGGCTAGCGCCCTACCACTTGAGCCACAGCATCACTTCCAGTTTTTTTTTTTTGCTTATGTGGTGCTGAGGAATCGAACCCAGGGCCTCATGCATGCAAGGCAAGCACTTTACGACTGAGCCACCTTCCTACTCCCCGATTGAAATTTTTAAATACAGATAACAGACCTAAGAACCATCAGCCAAAGCAAGGAGATAGACTTCATTTGGACACTGATTTGAGTCTTTTTCCCCAAAGTATACAATAGGAAATAGTAACGGAATACTGATTACATAAACCTGAAAACAGGTTTATATAAACTACCAAAAGCTGGTGTTGGGTCATCTGCCTGAAAACGGAACTCAAGGAGAAAACTAGGATGACCCAGGGCAAAAGGACACCTGTTCTGGCTTTCTGCATAGCTGCTATATTTCAAAAGGTTTAATACACTCACTTCTCACTGTACAAAGGCACCCTCCCCCCACCTTATCAGTGGATTGCATGCTTAAACAGAGCAGTGTGTTAAATGCGTACTTAACCTAGAAATGTCAGCTGCTCTGTGCCCCAGAGATCCCAAGCCTGGCACATCCAACCTCAACCCACACTCGGCTGTAGTGGGGATTTACCTTCTCAGACGGAGTGATAAGATACACAGCCTCCAGGCTGGGGAGCGGCTCTCTGCGCTTGTTGATATCTTCCACAACTAGACAATAGAATGGCCCACAGTGAATAAGAAAACATAATTGGAGATCATAAAACAAGAAGCAATCTAGATTAGCCACTTCCTGGCCCAGACAAACATGGACAGTAAGGGCATGAAAGGGAACCACTCACTTTGTGCTTAAGTTACCACCTCCCCTGGGAGTGAAGTCTGCGTCTCATTACACCTAAGATGTTAGAAAACCTGAAATCTTGCCATACAAGGCATGTCCAATTTCAGTTCAAGTAAAGTCCTCGATCTGTTCTGAAAGGAAATGGGAAGGCTACTTATCCTGCTAAGAGCCGTACACTTGACTCATACTTCAACTTCTCACCTGTCCGAAATCATCTCAAGCCCTTTAGAATTTCTGTGTTTTATTTATAATGGTTAGATAGTTTTTATAATTTTCCTCTGCATTCCAAAGACATTCTAACATATCCATTATATAGTAAATATTCCTTCCAAAGGTTTCTATCAGCCACTTCACCTGGAAAGAACAGCTTTGGGAACACCCTCATCTCATTCATCCCCTAATAAAGCTTGGGTGGATTATCGATGGGGAACCATCCTCTAGTACAAACAAAAAACAAAAACCACAAAGCCCCGTGGGTGCTCCTCCCCTGTGTAGGACTCACTTTAGAAGTATCTCTTTTTTTTTGTCGGTCATGGGGCTCGAACTCTGGGCCTGGGCACTGTCCCTCAGCGCTTCAGCTCAAGAGGAGTGCTCCACTGCTTGAACCACAGTGCCACTTCTGGTTTTCTAGTGGTTTATTGGAGACAAGAGTCTCACAGACTTTCCTGCTCGGGCTGGCTTTGAACCATGATCCTCTGATCTCAGCCTCCTGAGTAGCTAGGATTACAGGCGTGAGCCACCAGCACCCACCTAGAAGTATCTCTTGTATCGTTTATAAAACTATTACCCCAAGGGGCTGGGAAGGTGGCTCAGTGGTAGAGTGCTTGCCTTGCAATGCATGAGGCCCTGGGTTCGATTCCCCAGCACCACATAAGCAAAAAGAAAAAAGCTGGAAGTGGCGCTGTGGCTCAAGTGGTAGAGCGCTAGCCTTGAGCTGAAGAGCTGAGGGACAGCGCCCAGGCCCAGAGTTCAGGCCCCACGACCGGACCCCAAAAAAAAAAAACTATTACCCCAAATAATGTTCAAATGCTTCCTACTATTACCCCAAATAATGTTCAAATGCTTCCTGCAACCACCTACTTTACTAATGGTTAGTTTCAATTTCATAGCCTACTAATATTTCCCTCCAAAATGTTTTAGGACTTTAACATAGGGTTGTGAACTGTTTAATTTTTCTAAGCCAGGCGAGTTTTTGAAAACCATTCCTGAGGATAGAGAAGACTTGTGTGTGGTGGGGAGCTAAATCCTCATCTACCACAGGAAGTCATTAGACAAGGTCTGACATCAATGAATCAAGAAGTAACAGTATAAGCAGTTATGTAATAGAACAATGACAAAATGGAAAACAAAAACCAGAAAAGCAAGGTGTTTGACTCCAGAGTGATGATGTCTAGAGGATGGGAAGAAGCAGTGGGACAGGGTGTTGCTGTTTCTGTTATAGGCCTATGTGTTCCATTTGGCTTTTTCGTGTGTGTGTGTGTGTGTGTGTGTGTGTGTGTGTGTGTGTGTGTGTGTGTGTGTGTGTGTGTGTGTGTGTGTGTGTGTGTGTGTGTGTGTGTGTGTGTGTGTGTGTGTGTGTGTGTGTGTGTGTGTGTGTGTGTGTGTGTACCGAGGATGGGAAGAAGCAGTGGGACAGGGTGTTGCTGTTTCTGTTATAGGCCTATGTGTTCCATTTGGCTTTTTCGTGTGTGTGTGTGTGTGTGTGTGTGTGTGTGTGTGTGTGTGTGTGTGTGTGTGTGTGTGTGTGTGTGTGTGTGTGTGTGTGTGTGTGTGTGTGTGTGTGTGTGTGTGTGTGTGTGTGTGTGTGTGTGTGTGTGTGTGTGTGTGTGTGTGTGTGTGTGTGTGTACCGAGAGCAGAGCTTGAACTTAGGGTCATGCTCTTGCTTAGCTTTTATGCTCAAGGTGGTTTTCTGCCACTTGAGCCACAACTCTATTTCCTTCTTTTTGCTGGCAAATAGAGATTAGAGTCTCTATGATTTATGACCTGGCTTTGAACCTCAATTCTCAGATCTTAGCCTTCTGAGTAGGTGGGATTATAGGCATAAACCACCAGTGCCAAGATTTTTTTTTTGGGGGGGGGGTCAGTCGTGGGGCCTGAACTCTGTGCCTGGGTGCTGTCCCTCAGCTCTTCAGCTCAAGGCTAGCGCTCTACCACTTGAGCCACAGCGCCACTTCCGGCTTTTTTCTTTTTGCTTATGTGGTGCTGAGGAATCGAACCCAGGGCTTCAGGCATACAAGGCAAGCGCTCTACACTGAGCCACCTTCCCAGCCCCAAGATTTTTTTTTTTATAGATAAAAAATTAGTTGTGTTTTAAGATGCGATCTTGCTATGATGCCCAGGCTGGTTAAACTCTTTGGCTCAAGTGAACTTCTTACCTCTGCCTCCCAAATAGCTGGGACTACAGGTGCAATCACTGCACTGGCTGCAGAAAAAATTAAAAATTCAGTGAGGAGGTTGGAAGCATAGTTCAAGTGGTAGAGCACCTGAAAGAAGCCCTTGTTTCAAACCTCCATACCATCACAAGAGAAGAAAAGACCAGTTCCAGTGACTCATGCTTATAATCCTAGCTACTCAGGAGGATGGGATCAGAGGATTACAGTTCAAAGGCAGCCCAGATAAAAAAAGTCACTGAGATTATAATTAACCACCAAAACATAGCTGGGTGCTGGTGGCTCCCACCTATAATCCTAGCTATTCAGTAGGCTGAGATCTGAGGATCTCGGTTCAAAGCCAGCCAGGGCCGAAAAGGCCTTGAGACTCTTATCTCCAATAAACCACTCAGAAAACCAGAGGTGGCACTGTGGCTCAAGTGGTAGAGCACTAGCCTTGAGCTGAAGAGCTGAGGGACAGCACCCAGGCCAAGAGTTCAAGCCCCATGACAAAAACAAAACAAAACAAAACAACAACAACAACAACAAAAATTAACCACCAAAACACTGGAAGTGGAACTGTAGCTCAAGTAGCAGAACACTAGCCATGAGCAAAAAAAAAAAAAAAAAAAAAAAAGGGACAGAGTCCAGGACTGGGAAAGAAAGAAAGGAAGAAAGAAAGAGAAGGAAGGGAGGGAGGGAGGGAAAAGAAGAGGAAATGAAAGAAAAGAAAAAAGAAATTCAGTGAGGAAAATGACAAACTGATAACAGGGACAATCTTAGTTTTAAAGTTGACTTAGAGCTGGTTGGCAGTGGCTTATACCTATTATCCTAGCTACTCAGGAGGCTAAGATCAGAGGATTGTAGTTCAAAGCCAGACCAGGCAGTAAAGTCCATGAGACTCCTATCTCCAATTAACCAGGTAAAATTCTGGACTAATGAGACTTGCTTGATCATAAGTGAACTTGTCTTCAAGTTTACTATACACTGAAAGGCACTTTTCAAAGTAGCAGTACTAATTGACCATCCATCATACTGGAGTTGCCATTTTCTTAACATCCTTGGTCAGTTAGAATTATTGGAGCTTAAATGTCCTAATCTGGTGAGTATCCAGTGGTGTCTCACTGTGGTTTGAGTGGCATCTCCCTGAGCCCTAGTGAAAGCGGGAACTCTTCCTTTGGTAAGTAGCTTTCTTCCTTTGTTAAGTGTGCAGCTCTTTCTGCTATTGAGTAGACTGCCTTTGTTTCTCACCCTTGATTTAACCTTACTCTGGCATTTCCTTCACTGACATTTGAGGAGCACATAGCACTGCATTTAGGTTTGAGGGTCCTGGGATGACCAGGTGTTGTGGGTCTCCGTCAGGGACCTACAATCTCATAATGTAAGTTGTTGGAAGCATCTGTCAAGTGAGAAGAATGAGTAGGAAGGAGTAAAGCACAATGAAAAAGGAAGATATGTATAACTTGATTGTGTACTGCACTCACTTGTTATCCCCTCGGTCATGATGTCCGTCATCTTGCAGCAGGAAGAGAGCATCCTCATGCTTAACTGGTCTACCACCAGCACCTGGAAGGAAAGGGAGCAACTCATGGGTTACACAGTGCTTGCTTCTCCTATTATTTCACCGCATCTGGCTTTACAACAAGAGCATCAGAAATGCAGAATGTGGAAGAATCCATGTTTCCTATGAACCACAGGTCTGCTGAGATGCATGAGCACCCCTATCTCTACCTAACCTTCCAGGAGTTAGTGTTCACTCTCACTATCTTAACGTAATTTCATAAGCTAAAAAAGTAGTTTTTCTGCCAGATGTGCTGGTTCGTGCCTGAACTAAGGAGGTTTTTTTCAGAGTATAATGTGGCTTTTGGGAGGGTTTGGGGTTTGCGATGGGGTCTTGCTATGTAGCCCAGGCTGGCCTGGAATGTGTGATCCTCCTGTGTTGGGATTATAGGTGTGGCCACCATGACCAGCTGATAACTTTTAGGGGAGCAGTGCTAGGATTTGACCTTAGGATCTTGCACTTGTTTGCTAGGCAGGTGTTCTACCACTTAAATCACATCTCCAGCCCATTTTGCATTTAATTATTTTTCAAATAGGGTCTCTCATTTTTGCCTGGACTATGTTCTTCCTATCTATGCTTCCCATATAGCTGGGATGACAGATGCATGTCATCACACTGAGCTTATTAGTTGAGTTGAATTTTCACTAACTTTTTGCCTGGGCTGTCCCTAACAGTGATCCTTTAGACCTCTGCCTCCCAAGTAGGTGGGATTATAGGCAAGAACCACCATGCCCAGTTGATAACATGTTCTTAAAGGAGAAAAAAATACTAGTGTCCACACCTATGGCACCTGAGGCTTCATGTGTATGTCATCAGGAGTCTTAACCTCCTCAGAACATACATTCTAGAACAAGGACATTTCAATCCTGAACTAAAGCTCCACACTTGCTCCATTCAGCCCAGAGTAGGGAGAAGCCTACACTTAAGGCTTTTTCTCTTTTTCTCTAATAATATAAACCAAGGAGGCAATAGGAACTAGACACATTAGCACAGATGGTGTGGGAAAACTTTCTGCTGTAGTACAAGTGCCAAATAGTTTTATTTTATGAAGCAGCTTCTTGGAGAATAGTTTAAAATTCCCATGTCTACAAATCCACTATTGAGGCTCACGCCTGAAATCCTAGCTACTCAGGAGGCTGAGATCTGAGGATCATGGTTCAAAGCCAGCCTGGGTAGGAAAGTCTGTGAGACTCTTAACTCCAATTAACTATAAAAAGCCAGAAGTGGAGCTGTGACTCAAGTGGTAGAACCAGCCTTGAGCACAAAAGCTCAGGGACAGCACCTAGGCCCAGAGTTTAAGCCCAGGACTGGCACAAAAAAGTGGGGGAAAAAAATCCATGATGGGTAGGGTACAAAGAACTCCCACCAGATAGCCAGGTGAAGACCAATCTGATGGGTGAAACAGAATTTTACAAGGCTAGAGTGAGTTTTCAAAATCTTTTTGTAGGCATGAGCCATGTTGCTCCCAGGCCCAGCAATGTGACATGTATGGGCTCCCAACTGGGAGAAAACTTGAGGGCAAGAATGACTAGTAGCCCAACATCGGTGGCTCAGGCCTGTAATCTTAGCTTCTCAGGAGTCTGAATCTGAGGATCATGGTTCAAAGCCAGCTCTGAGCAGGAAAGTTCATAAGATTTTTATCTCTGATTAACCACCAAAAAGCCGGAAGTAGAACTACAGGTCAAGTGATAGAGTGCCAGCCTTGAGTGAAAAAGCCAAATAAGAGTGAGAGGCCTTGGATGCCTCCCTAGCCAGCATGGCACCTAGCTCCAGACAACCAAGTGATCCTTAAACTGTTGACAATGTGCATGAAAGTCATGGGCCACTTCTGTGTCAGTCATTTTAGGCCATTATCCATCTGCTCAGCTTTAATATTTGCTTCATGGTTTTTCTGTGTTTTCCAGCATTGCTCTCAAAGAAAAATGAATAAACAAGCTGCTTCTCTTGTCCTACATAGTTAGAGCTAGATGGGGAGAGACCAGATGGAGGCTTTAAATTGTGGGGGCTTCCTAGAGATGCCTTGTGGCCAGGAAAGGAGTTAAAAGGGTCTCTTCTTCTCCCACATCAAGCAGAACAACTGTACTTACTGCTTTATCAAACAGATTCTAGGGGAGATTTTTTTTTCCTTTTGGGTTTGAACTCAAGAGTCTCATTCCTGCTAGGCAGGTGCTCTATCACTTGAGCCATGCTCCTAACCATCAAGTAAGATTATTAGATGAATAAAGAAGTCCCAATGCTACTGGGCACTGGTGGCTCACACCTGTAATCCTAACTACTAAGGAGGCTGAGATCTGAGGATCGTGATTCAAAGCCAGCCCAGGCAGCAAAGTCCATGAACCTCTTGTCTCCAATGAACCACCAGAAAACAGGAAGTGGCGCTGTGGCTCAAGTGGTAGAGCACTTGCCCTGAGCTAGAGAGCTGAGGGACAGCTCAGAACCCAAGACCAGAGTTCAAGCCTCATAACCACCACCAACAACAAAAGAATCTCAGTGCTGAGTACTCTACCAGATGATCTTTATGACAAGCTTTATGACCAAGATACTTCTGAACCAAGAGCCTATGAAGAGTCAGAACAGGCGGCCTTTCTTCAATCTAGGCACATTTTGAACCTCTGGTAACAGCAAACGCCCTCACTGTGCCAACTCCTTCCCTCCTACTCTTCTCACGCAAACTCATTCATTAAGGCCAATAATATTACTTTTCTACTTACCTTCCATTCCCCCTTCTTCTTGACCTTCTTTATCACATCATGCATGATTTCTAAAAGAGAAGGAGAGAGGGAGAGATAATTTACTATCATTTTAAGACTTCTACACCTACCTATTACACTATTCCATTTCCCCTTAGGCCTTGCTCTCCTGAGTTGTATAATTCAACCAATATGTTGACTGAGCCACAATAACCCACCATAAGGACAGTTATTCTGAATTCAAAGGGTCAATCCTGTATCCTTAATTCAGTAGCTCTCAAACTTTAATCTCAGAACCTTTTTCTTTTGTGGTACTGGATTTCTTTATACTCTTAAAAATTAAGGACCCCAGAAAGTAGCTGTTAATATAGATAGACATCTATTGGTATTTGCTGTATTACTAATTAAACTGAGTCAAGAAAAGTATGGTATGCCTATAATCCCAGCACTGGGGAGGCTAAGGCAGGAGTATGATGCATTCAAAGCAAGATTTGGCTTCTTAGCAGCATCAGTGTTTCAAAAACAAAAAAGCAAAGAACTGAAAAAATGTTGAGGGTTGAAGGCACTGTTAAGTGGTAGAATGTCTGCCTAACAAAGATGAGGCCCTTACTTCAAAGAAATTTTGCCAAAGACATTTTTAAAAATGTTTATTGATTCATTTAAAATAAGAATAAGTCCACTATATGTCAATATAAGTTGCGATTTAATGAAAAACAGCTTTATTTACCACAGTAACAAACCCATGGGACACTACTGGCAGGATTATACATTTTTGCAACCCTTCTTAGTGTCTGGTTTTACAGAAAACAAATGGATCTGCTATCTGCTTCTGCAGCCAGTATGTCATAGAATGAGAGGCATCTGGAAATTCTGCTAACTGCGGACAGCATGAAATGAAGAAGGCACAAGACACCTTAGTTGAAGACAGCTGGGACCTCATGAATCCAGGGTCTTGGGTTTGAGAACCACTGCCTAAGTTAAGTGCATAAAGGGCTCAGGCCACATGAGCCCCAGTCAAGCTCTAGAAAGAGATGTGACACATCTGTGGCACACTCTTAAGACATCATTTGGTAAGCCTGGTTTCAACACCACAAGCACAGATAAATCTAACCAGCTTTGGGGCCTCCAAAGGAAAGGTGACTTCTGCCTCTCTGCAAGTCCAGGTCACACACAACCCTGTTATCAGCAAGTGTGTTTCAAACATTTAGATAACTCTAGGTTATGATGGTTTCTCTGCTTTTGAGTATTTTTAATAATTGGATATGTCATAAAGTACTCTGAAGTTTTTTGTTTTTTTTTGGGGGGGGTCCGGTCGTGGGGCCTGAACTCTGAGCCTGGGCACTGTCCCTCAGCTCTTCAGCTCAAGGCTAGCGCTCTACCACTTGAGCCACAGTGCCACTTCCGGCTTTTTTCTTTTTTGCTTATATGGTGCTGAGGAATCAAACCCAGGGCCTCAGGCATGCAAGGCAAGTGCTCTACCACTGAGCCACCTTCCCAGCTGCATACTCTGAAGTTTTTAGGAACATTTTTTCCTAAAGAGAAACTTCATTAACTCACCACAGAAAGTTGAAAACATATAGTATTTTTTTTTTAAGAAACACCCCCAACACACATAAATTATTAATACTCTTAAAAACAACCAACAAAACTGGGCACTGGTGGCTCATGCTTAGCTATTCAGGAGGCTGAGATCTGAGGATCATTGTTTAAATGAAACCAGCACAGGCAGACAAGTATGTCAGACTCATTTCCAATGAACCACCAGAAAACCAGAAGTTGCGCTATAGCTCAAGTGGTGGAACTAGCCTTGAGCCAAAGAGCTCAGGGACAGAGCTCAGGCCCTGAATTCAAGCCCTACAACTGACAAAAAAATTTTTTTTTTAATAAATAAATAAAAAATCAGTAAGATGGGTGTTGGTGGCTCATGCCTGTAATCCTAGCTACTGAGGACCTTAAGATCTTAGGGTCACAGTTCAAAGCCAGCCCACGCAGAAAAATGTGAGATTCATGGGGCTGGGAAGGTGGCTCAGTGGTAGAGCGCTTGCCTTGCATGCCTGAGGCCCTGGGTTCGATTCCTCAGCACCACATTAAAAAAAAAAAAGCCGGAAGTGGCTCTGTGGCTCAAGGGGTAGAGCGCTAGCCTTGAGCTGAAGAGCTGAGGGACAGCGCCCAGGCCCAGAGTTCAGGCGCCACGACCAGACCCAAAAAGAAAAGAAAAGAAAAATGTGAGATTCTTATCTCCAATTAACTACCAAAAAGCCAGAAATGGTGCTGTGACTCAAAAGTGGTACAGTGCCAGCCTTGAACATAAAAGCTCAGGGATAGTGCCTAGGCACCGAGTTCAAGCCCCAGCACTAATGTGCACATACGTGCCTGTACAAACACACATATCAACAGGAAAAATCTAGCAAGGTGTTTGCTGGTGGCTTACACCTATAATTTTAGCTACTCAGGAGGCTGAGATCTGAGGATTGCAGTTCTTAGCCAGCCAGCCAGGAAAGTCCATGAGACCGTTATCTCCAATTAACCACCAAAAAGGCAGAAGTAGAGCTGTGGCTCAGTGGTAGAGCACTAGCCTTGAGCTGTAAAAGCTCAGGGACAGTGCCCAGGCCCTAAGTATAAGCCAAAGACAAGCCCAAACAAATCTGAAATTCTGCCAACTTGAAATGTATATTAACATTTTAGTTTATTTCCTAATAGCTTTTTCCTATACATATTTACATAGTTAAGATCATATTATATACATAATCTTGTGTGTGTGTGTGTGTGTGTGTGTGTGTGTGTGTGTGGTGCCGTGGGGTTTGAACTCTGGGCCCTGGGCGCTGTCCCTCAGCTCTTTAGCTCAAGGCTAGTGCTTAACCACTTGAGCCACACTACCACTTCTGGTTTTCTGGTGGTTTATTGAGAGTCTCACAGTCTTTCCTGCCCCAGCTGGCTTTGAATCGAGATCCTCAGATCTCAGCCTCTTGAGTAGCTAGGATTATAGGCATGAACCACCAGTGCCCAGCAACATAATCTTATATTATGCTTTTATCACTTAACATATTCATTTTCCCTAATAAAAATACTTTCTATGGATTTATTTGCTTATGTGGTACCAGAGTTTGAACTCAGGGCCTCACATTTGCTAGATAAGTACTTCAACAGTTGAGCTACATCCCCAGTCTTTTAGGATTTTAAATGCCAGCATAACAGTCCATAGCTTAGTCAAGAGTATTTCCCAAAAGTCATGTATATTATTTCTCTGTCTCATTGTGGTGAAAAAGAGAAACACCAGTAACAATGCAATGGTTAAAAGTAAATCAGGTTACTTTTGTAAATGGGATACTATGCACCTATGAGAAATAACCACCTGAGAAAATATATATTCATGCATCCACTCTTCCATTGCATTTGCCAGTCACTGTACTAAGCACCAGGAAGAACAACATGATATCTGTTCAACTCTTGGAGGCTTACACTCTCAGGAAGGGAGCAGCCACAGCTTCTCCTAAGTACTCTAAAGAAAATAAATAAGGTTTTATGGTAGGAAAATATAAACAAGTATAAGCAGCTCTATAAACAAGGGACGGAAGTCAGACTTCACCAGAAGGAAGGCAGCCAAAAACTAGGCAAAGGAGAGAAAGGAGACAAAGGCCTGAAGTGGAAAAAAGGAAAAAGCACTTGACAGTTTCTTGGACCCAAAGAAGGTATAGGCTGAGGATGAAGCCAGATCATGTGCCCGTGGCTCTTGAGGAGTATAATTTTATCTGAAGGGTACTAGAAAGTGACAGAAGGCAGGGAGGTCATTTGACACACTGCAGAAATGAGAATAGGAAGTCATGGCTGGTTGCAATGGACTGGTTTGGAGAGAAGTGTGTGGATATCAGTTATGGCTTAGATGAATCAGGGAAAAAAAAGTAACATGAACAACCCTAGATTGGGGTTTGAACAAAGAAACTAATATCAAGATGCTTGGGCAGACCTAGAAGCAGAGAATACCAGGGGTCCTGTTTGCCTAGTGTGAGGCTGAGATTGCTAGAGACTTCCAAGGGGTGGTAGGTAGTTGGGAGGTAGCTCTGGTGCTTGGAAGACTACTTCAGCTGCAGTTATAAACTGGGGAGTTAGCATCAACTAGAAATAGAAGGCAAAGTTGGAGACAATTCACAGCTCTGACTGGATCATTAAGAAAAGGATGGAAACATAAGTCTTTGCTGACCTTGGGAAACCTTTTGGTAAACCATTAGGGATGGAGACAGACTTAAAGGCAAAGGAGAAAGATTTGCTAAGGCAGCCAAAAAAGATCATGAGCCAACAGGATAGACAGAGATGTGAAAGCAAGGAGGAGTTTTTTCCAAAGATGTGAGAAATTAGAATGTTACTTACGATATTGACAAGAAACCAAAAAATGGGATACAGGAGATGGGAGACTAACTGAAAGACTGAGCTTCTTCTCCAAGAAAGAAGAAGAGGTTGGGCCTGAGACACAGAAAGCCAGACCTGGGTACCTTTGATTACTGATGGGCCCAGAGATAATGGCAATATGTGGGGTTTCCTAGGAGATGAAGTTACTGGCTAAGCAGGGATGTATACAAGAGGTATGACGAAAGGTGTCACATATCTTCAAGAGATTGGGAAAGTAAATTTACTGCATTTTAGCATTTCTGGATTGTTCTAAGGGCTAATTTGAGGTTTATGACCATGATTTAAAGTGAAACCAGGCAGCTTGAGTGGATTTTTTCTCTCAACAATGCTCAGCTCTCCAGATGCAAAAAACTGCTGGTGTCCACCAAGGTTACACTTTTCTCAGGGGAGTACAATAGAAGAAGAAAATATTCACATTATATAGCTGCAGATGGGAAAGAATGCCACAATTGTGTTTTTTAAAGCATACATGTATAGGAGAATTGAAAAACTTATATCCAAATGTTATTTTTCTGATTAATGCTTAATTGCTAAGTTGTGCTTTTTATTGTTGTCCCAAGCTTTTGGTGTAGAAGAAATGCTCTAGCATAATGTGTCAGTGAACATCACTGCCCAGTGCTTTTCTTGGCACAAATTAATTCTGTCAGTAGATCTTTCTGAGTATAGA